TCTTTTCTTTTCTTTTCTTTTCTTTTCTTTTCTTTTCTTTTCTTTTCTTTTCTTTTCTTTTCTTTTTTCAGATCCAATGGCAGTCCAGCTAGTGAATGGCCCAAGCCGCTGCGCTGGGAGAGTCGAGGTGCTGGAGCAACGCCAATGGGGGACAGTGTGCGATGACAACTGGGACATGAGAGATGCCAACGTTGTATGCTGGCAACTAGGCTGTGGTGTGGCCGTTGCAGCTCCTGGCTCGGCTCACTTTGGACGGGGAAGTGGTCCCATCTGGCTGTCTGAGGTCAACTGCACAGGGACAGAAGATAGCCTCTCCAAATGCAGGGCCAGGCCTAAAGGAGTCACCGGGTGTCACCATGGAGAAGATGCCAGTGTGGTGTGCTCAGGTAGCTGCTGTTCATAGCTGATGAGCTTATGGGTACTAACAGTGCAGGAGCTCAATGGATTGGTTCTCCTTTCTCACCTATGACAGTGCTTTTCCCATATGTAGGTCTTCGAATCTCTGAGGCAAGATAAATCATAGAATCATAAAATCATGAAGGTTGGAAAAGACCTCTAAGGTCTTCAAGTCCAACCATCCACCTATCACCAATAATGCTCATTAAACAATGTCCCTAAGTACTAGATCTACACATTTTTTGAACACTTCCATCAGAACAGTTTCCCAGAGCAGCTGTGGATACTCCATCCTGGAGGAGTTCAAGGCCAGACAGGATGTGGCCCCGGAGAGAATGATCTACTGGGTTGCAGCACTTTAAGGTCCCTTCCAACCAAGATTATTAGAAGATTCTGATTCACTCTCCATGTCATATCAAGTGCTTGGTCTCTGATCACAAGGTCTACAGCCATGAGTTGATACTCTCTGCCTCCTTCCATTTCAGACCCCACTGAGGTCCGGCTGGTGAACGGCTCAAATCACTGCTCTGGGAGAGTTGAGGTGCTGCATAACCAGCGATGGGGAAGTGTGTGTGATGATGGCTGGGATTTGAATGATGCAGAAGTGGTGTGCCGGCAACTGGGCTGTGGTACAGCCATATGGGCTTCATCTGCAGCTCGATTTGGGCAGGGCTATGAACCCATCTGGCTGGATGATGTGAACTGCACAGGATCAGAGGCTGCCCTCTCTGAGTGTAGGGCCAGACCATGGGGAGTGAGTAATTGCAACCACAAAGAAGATGCTGGCGTGGTGTGTATAGGTAAGAGACTCGCATTCCTTTGTTGTGCAGCTCTGGAAGGAGTGATGCTGGAAGGAATGATGGACTCTACACTTTGCTATTTTCCTTAAGGGAAGCATGCTGGTAGAGTAACGGAGAGACAACTTTATTTTGCTCATGTTAAATCTCTTGCCTCTATGTAGGTACCTATTTCAGGTTGTCTGCTAACTGTGAAGACTTTATCCTAGAAGAATGAGTCACTTTCCAACCATCACTTTGCTATCCTCCATTGCCCACTGACTGCTCTGTTAGGCTCTGAACATCCTTTCCCTTTCCATAATGCATGATGCTGTAGTGATACATGTTTACACTGTACCATAAAGTCCCCTTGCACATTGAACATCCCCTCTACCATGAGTCCATCTAGTCTGCTTGGACTGCCAAGGCATCCTCTCACTTTGTGTTTCCATAGCACAAAATTTATGTGTCTATACTCAGATTCCTCCATGTAAGCCAAATGGCTGAACCACCTCTATTAAAGTCTTGGGTCAATGCAGCTAATTAATGCCCAACACAGATCAGCCCACTGTAAAGCAGTCATGGATATTTGTCCACATGAACCATGCTTTTTTTGGATGCCTGAGGACACCTTAAATGGGATTAAATGTCTGTGTTTATTCCAGCGGTAGTCTCCATGTCACACTGCATCTGACTGCAGTGTGAGTTTCCCATCTTCCACATTTATATATTGACTCGCACATGTCTTTCTTAACTCCAGGACCAACGCAGCTCCGGCTGGTGAATGGCTCTAACCGCTGCTCTGGGAGGGTCGAGGTCCTTCACAACCAGCAATGGGGAACGGTGTGTGACAATGGCTGGGACCTGAATGATGCAGAGGTGGTGTGCCAGCAGCTGGGCTGTGGGGCAGCCGTGTCAGCTCTGGGCTCAGCCCACTTTGGGCAAGGATCCGACCCTATTTGGCTGGAGGATGTTGAGTGCACAGGGATGGAAGGTGCCCTCTCTGAATGCAGGTCCAGGAAAGGGGAGCTGAGCAAATGCAATCACGGTGAAGATGCTGGTGTTGTGTGCTCAGGTAATATTTTCTTGAAGAGCATTATTCACTATTCTAACTAAAAGAGGGGAGATTTAGATTGGATGTTAGGAGGAAGTTCCTTACTCAGAGGGCTGTGAGGCACTGGCATGAACTGCTTGTAGAAGCAGAGGATGCCTTGTTTCCGGAGGTGCTCAAGGCCAGGCTCAATGGAGCCCTGGGCATCCTGATATAGTGGGTGACAACCAGCCCTTGGGAGGGGGTTAGAACTAGATGGACCTTAAAGTCATTTCCAGCATGAAACTTTTATGATTCAGGAGAGTACTGAGCTGTGCTGGAGGAAGGAAGTGTGTGACAATGCTGGATAGCACAAAACCCATAGAATTCAGGGTCTTCTTCTGCAGGTGGGAGGTGGGAGACGAGCAACCCAAGAGGTGCTGAGCTGGTGATGGGCAGAAGGATCTGAGCAAAGCAATGAGAGACATACAACAAAACGTTTGAATGGGAATAAAGAAGCTTTTCTTAGAGACCTAGAAAGAACTAAAGTGTGATGCAATCAAGAAAACAACTAAGAGCTGCTAAACTGAGAGCAGCATAGAAGGGAAGGACTTGTTGTGAAGGACACAGCAATCAGAAAGAAAGATTTTTACAAAATCCATTGTATTCTTCTCCAGTGAGCATGGACAAATTTTATCAGAAATTTTCATGTTCTGGATGATGATAAAAACCTCACTTTAAATATTCAACATTTCTATGATATTTAAGTATATTCAGTATAAGAACAGAAGCATGCACATCCTTCCCAAAGGTTCAGGTGATTCAAACCCCTGATCATCATGACTGCATAGCACATGGGCACAGAGGCCTACTAGTGTTTTGGTGCTAAAGCTGTCCAGATTGCAAGGTCTTTGGCCATTGCAAAGGCTTTCAAGCATGTCATTTTTAATAGCTTGAAATACATAGAAAAGTTTCTTGGTTATAAGTGTCAGAAAAGGAGAAAAAATCAGTGACAAACTTTAGCTATATGATTAATGCAAGCAGTGCATGTGTGGAAGAAAGCTTCCAAAAAAACCATCCATCTTGTTTCAGATCCCACAGCATTGCGACTGGTGAATGGCTCAAACTCCTGTGCTGGGAGAGTGGAAGTGCTCCACAAGCAGCTGTGGGGATCTGTGTGTGATGATGGCTGGGACACGGAGGATGCTGCAGTTGTGTGCCGGCAGTTGGGCTGTGGGACGGTACTCTCGGCCCCTGGCAGAGCTTGGTTTGGGCAAGGGCATAATGCCATCTGGCTGGATGATGTGAACTGCACAGGGATGGAAAACAACCTCCTGGAGTGTGTGGCCAGGCCATGGGGAGTACACAACTGTAATCATGGTGAAGATGCTGGTGTGGTGTGTTCAGGTAATGTGGCTCCATTCTTTTCTAAAGAAAAGGGGTTGGGCATGGTGGTGTGATCTCTTTGCTCAGAAATGAAAGACTAATGGAGAATGAAGATGGAATTTTCTTCAAGGCAAAGAGTCCTACATTTCCAGACTCCACCTGGCCCACTAGAGTAATTTGCCCATGATTACCATGATCAACTCATGGGAAATTAGTCCTGGGCTCCCCAGAGATCCCTTCCAAACAACACCGTGGTGACCCACAGTTGCCACTCACCTTGGTCAACAGAATCATCCCAGAATGTGAATTCCTGAGTTCCAGACAGGACTCTGGCCAAGTCTATGGCTGTGATGTTATATGGAGAAGTGCTTAAGGTTTGTAGAAGCATTTTTTGGAGTAGTAATACTGTGTTAACCTTATAATTATCATTGCATGAACAGTTAATTGTCCAGTTGATACTGATGTAAGGAATACTTGATTATTGCCTGCCGGGATGGGTGTCCTGACCTCTATTATAGGAGGGAAAAAAGACTTACTCAGGGTAGCTTATTTACACACACCCTGGTTTCTTCACTTTGTTCATCTTCCCACTCTTCACTCCATCTAAAGATCAATGGCATTGACACAAGGAGGTTTGGCAGTGGGTTGTCACTTATCAAAACATATTTCCTAAGTAAGTGCAATATTCGTGGAGTTCCTTCTGCCTCCTGCTTTCTTCCTTTTTTTGTATTCACCTATTTTAACAAATTTCTAACATACTCTTCAGTCTTTCCTTATCTATCTGCAAGCCAATCTTGCAATCAAATGGACTGCATACTGCACTTGCCTCTGCTCTGGGTCCTTGTTCCTTATTGTCTTTGTTCTCTGAACTGCTTTTATCCAGATCCAGGTCTGCATGCTGACAATTGTTGAGTTGCTTGTAGCCTTGAGTTTTCTTATCATCTCTTATCATCCCATGCTGTACATGCTTCTCAAGGCCTCTGCTGGCATACCAAGTGTAGGTCTTACGACTCTGCATCCCACTGGGGAAAGAGAGGTGATGGTGATTCCTGCCTGTCTTCTGCAGCAAGTATCAGAGAAATAAAAAATAGAAGGTAAAGCCTGAACTACAAATTGAAAGAAACTGATGCCCAAGGTTGAACATTGCATCTACTTACACATCATCTTGCTCCTCCATTCCAATCAGTGGTATCTCTCAAATGATACTATATGTGGTTTGGAAGATAATACAGTTTATGAGCTGCTTATGAAGGGTGGGAAAGCCTACAGAAAAGCTGGAACATTCTCCCTTTTTCAATACCCTTAAGACCCAGAGACACTAAAAAGGACATGGTAATGAAGAGATCCCTCTCTAGAACACAGAGAGGATTTGCAGACTTTGCTTTTGTTGTTGTTCTTGTTGCTAAAGCTGTGGTTCTCATTTTGACATGGAGTTATTCTCTAAGCAGGAAGCACAGTTTTCATCTTTTTCCTGTCACGGTTTAGAAGAGCTCAGCTCCAGGGACCCCCAGCATGGCTAGGCATTGACCTTGTGCTTCCAGTCCTTCAGCTGATCTGCAAAAGAGCAATTCAGGAATCTTAGAATCATAGAATCATAGACTCTTTTGAGTTGGAGGGGATCCTTAAAGGTCATCTGGTCCAATTCTCCTGCAATTAACAGGGACATCTACAGCTTGATCAGGTGCTCACAGCCCCAGCAGTCTGACCTTGAATGTCTCCAGGCATCCACCATCTCTCTGGGCAATCTGTGCAAGTGCGTCACCACCCTTATTATAAAAACATCTTCATATCCAATCTAAATCTCACTTCTTTTAGTCTGAAACCATTTCCCCTTGTACTGTCACGACAGAGTCTGGTAAAGAGTCTATTTGTACTAAAAAAATTTCAAGCTATGAACTTCCTCTGTCCCTGTTATTTTAACCACCTCAAATTATCCCTGAGCTCTCTTCTTTACCTTTATTCTAGAGACAGTTTGCAATAGCTTAGCTCATCATTGAAAGGGAGGTTGAGAGATTTCATGTGCTGCAGATTAGGAAAGACATTGAGATGCAAAGACTTCTCTTGTCTTGTCTCCCAGTCTTGAAGAGAACTGTTCTCATTACTTAGCTCTTGTCAAATGTGTGTTCTTGCAAGTAAATTTGGAGACTGCAGTGTAGCCATAGGATAGTGTTTCTGAAAGTGCTTGTCTTTGAATAATAAAATAATAATACATAATTAATTAAATAATAAAGCAATTTCCTGCCATCTAGCTATGCATCCATGAAATGCAATGAAATAGAATTCATTGTACAATATATATGGGTTTTAATGTTTCATTTTTCTGGTCTATCATAGAATCAGAGAATATCCCAAGTCCGACAGGACCACAAGGACCATCAAGTTCAACTCCTACCCTCTCACCAGGTACAGCTGTTAACAAGTTATCTGAAATTGTTGTCTCTGTGCATTGTAGTAGCCAAGAGAATCCAACAAAAAGTTGTATGCTTTAAGGGAGGTGCTGAGGAGAAATCAGGGGGGTTTAACTTTGTTGTGAAGTAAAACTCTAGATCTTCCATGTCTTTTATAGTGTATATAGTGCTGTTCACCATGCATCAGGAACAAGAGCTGGATCAGAGAGTGCACCAAGGGCTGTGAGCTTCTGGAAGGTGCTACTGAGGGGCATTTGCTCTCATTTTGCTTTGCACCCCCAGCTTCACTATCCTTCTACTGCATTCTTGCTGTAGGGGCTGGCAGAGTTGAGCAGGATCGTGATGAAGAAAATGTCATGACTAAGTCTCTCCTCCCTTTCCCTTACCTTCTCCCCTCCTGTCTTTTATTTTGTTTTGTTTTCTTCTGTTCTGTTCTGGTCTTCCGAGGCTCCTAATGAGAAATTAACTTTCTCAGGACATAGTTCACCACATCTTAGCATAAAGGACTCAAAGTGAATTTACTCATTCTTCCATCTAGCTCTAAATGGCATCTCAAAGGACAATCTTGAATGGAGTCACAGGTACATGATTCACAATCATTTTAAACAAGCCAAATTGCATGTTTTTCAGGGACTAAGCTGGTTGTTTACGAGAATTTCCAAAGAGCAGGAAGGTTTGGTTTCTCCCAAGTCTATGAACTTCCATAGATGAGAGCTCTAAGTTCTGTTGTAGGGCCAGAGCTGGCTGGAAGTCAGGAGACGAGGACAGCAGGGGGAGCCTCCGAGTTATAGCAGGGAGGCTACCCCAACTCTTTCCAACTGAAGGGATAAGTCCAGGGACATAAGAGAGGCAGAATCAGTGCACGACGAGTCCTGTGCATGAAAGAAAGATTTAGGTCAACAGAAGAAGTCATCTTGTGCTATAACCATGACACAGCAGGACCACGGAGATGCCCTTGGGGCTGGCACGTAGAACACGGGACCAGGGTGCAGAGAGGGTTGTGTTTGCTCTGTACATCCCTGGAACAGCTCTCCATTTCACAACCTGGAGATAGGAGCAGGCTGTGGCATGGAGCAGAGGGTCACCTGCTGGAACAGCTTCACACAAAGCCCAAGTGACCAAGGGGCAGAGGAAGCTGGGCTGGCAAAGCAGGGAAAAGCCCAGAGTAAAGGAGGGAACAGGAAGAGGGCTTGTTGCTGAAATGCCTGTCACTCCCATCTGCCCCAGTTCCTCTCTGTCCCTCCCAGCTGGCCGGTGGGACCCGGCACTCAGCTGCTGGCCCTCAGCAGGGTGTTCTGCTCCAGCTTCCAGCCCATGGATGCGTGAACATGGGGCTGCCTGGTGCACTCCATCCTTCACCCAGGTTCCCCTGGGGCAGAAACCAACCCAGCTGCACTGGAGCCAAGAGTGTGGGGGTCCTCCTCCTGATGGTGTGCCTTTGGGGTGAGTGATGCTTTGCTTCCGACCACAGGGATCCCATATGCAACGCATGCTCCTCCAGTGGGAGTGGAGTGGGAGTGGGGATCCAGGGTTTCTTAGAATACAGCACAGGCTGGTCAAGGGTACTGGGATTCATTTCTTGAGGGGCCAGCTCACTGAGTCTTTCCAGTACATAAAGGGAGCTGATAAACATGAAGGAGACCACTTTTTGTCATATTCTGACAGTGATAGAAGAAGAAGGAATGGCTAAAGTAATTGAGGGGAGATTCAGGTGAGGTGTTAGGAGGAAATAGGACAGATAGCATTGGCAAGGGCTGCCCAGAGTACCTGTGACTGTCCCATCCCTGGGGGCGTTGAAGGTTGGATGGGTGTGATATGTGATATGGTGGGGGGGCAACCGGCCCATGGCAGGGCTGTTGGGACTACATGGGCTTTAATGGCTCTTCTAACCCAAGGCATACTGTGACGTTATGACTGCGTGATTGTATGATCCTATGTTTCTATGGTTCTATTATTTGGGGCAAGAAGGAATATCTTGTGATGGTTTTGGAGTCAGGAGAGATGTCTTTATGTGAGGCTAACTCCGCAGACTGAACTCTCAAAGGCGTGTATCATCTCCCTACCTCTTCACACATGATTTTGCCTAAGAATTAGAGACTTCGGACTTAGCGGTGTTATAAGAGCAGACAGAAATATGCCCAGTTTTCATCCTGAATCTGTCCAATAGACACTTGTGGTGGGTCTTTTATCCTGCCAAATCTTCTGAGTGCAGCCAACTGCTGGTATAGCAGAATGGAGGGGGCTCAGGTGAACTCTGCTCCCCTGTGCATGGAGTAGGATGGGCAAGAGCTATTTCACGGTGCAGCCTTTGTTATGGACCTGGTTGAGGAAGGGCCTAGGGCTTTGTTCAAGTTTCCACAACTTGGAGCAGAAGTGGGTTATTTGATCTGGGCACCATTTAAGTGCTTTTTCAGCTCTCCCCTCTTCTTCAGATCATGTTTGGAGGAAATGAAACTAGGAATGTACTTTCTCTGCCAGTACAAGCTTAATTTCCTGACTATTACTAAGCCAGCTTGTATCACTTCCTCATGAAAAAAAATATTATAACATGCTTGGGTTATCTTCCTCTTTGGTGATCAATTCATGAGCAATGAAAACTTCCCTTCTTTCTGGAAATCCTACTGCTGGAAGTTTCGGAATGGTGACTGCCTCTTCCAGAGTCAGTCTCCTGGCTTGCTGGATTTATCTGGGCTGGGACTGCCTAGGGTAGCCATGACATCTCATTCTCTGCCCAAGGCAATGCAAGAAAGATACCAAGCAACACGTTAACTCCGCAAAGTCTCAACTGTAAGATTGATCTGTTATTGCTTATGAAAGGACAATTTTTAGTAAAAATGAGAAAAGAGAGCACAATGCCCATGTGCATGGGGAATGCAGAGCATGCAGTCTGGGAAGTGAGTGCCTGCAGTGCATCCATTTCAGACTCATCATCAAAGTTAATTCTAGCGGTGTTTTTGCAAAGACATTTTCTTACTCCCTGCCCTTATAAGTAAAAGAGCTGAGCTACTCCAGCCTGCACGCAGAAGGACAGTTTGTTCTTTTCAGGCTCCCTATTTCCAGCTCATGTCTGAGAATGATGCAGGGATTTGATTTCTACACTGCTTCTTCCTCCTTCTGGCCTCTGTGACAACAGGTCCCAACACAGCTTATGACTCAGCTCTGGGAACAGCAAAACTGTGCTGGACCTGAGCACAGATTGGTCAAAAATCTCTTTACAGAATGGAATCACATTCCTCTTCAGCATTTATTTTTATGCTGACCGTTAAGCTCTCTGCATTAGTCATTTCCAGTTAGCTTATTGCTCCACTTTGTTACTGCTCGTGCTAAGCGTGCATAAGGAACTAGAGGCAATTTTTTGCTGCAGGTCTTGCAGAGTGAGGAAACCTTCCCATGAATAAGAATTTTTCCACTTCTCCAAACTCCGTGTGTAGCTGCACCACATGCAGTTGTTCTATGGTTATAGAGCGTTTATCTATTGCATGAGCAGGAAGAGAACTCCTGGGGTGTGGGATCCATATTGATGTTAAGAGGAGGAAATTCAGGCAGTTAGATACACAGATGGCACTCAACAGCTTACAAACTCTCAGGGCTGTTATAGCTGCTTGTTCCATGCCCACTTCTCTTTAGTGCAGAACGTTTTCCTAACATCCAGCTTGATCCTCTCCTCCCCTGATGCAGCTCCATGCTGTTCGCTTAGATCTTGTTGATGTCACCAGAAAGCAGAGGTCAGTGTCTGCCCCTGTGCTCCCCTCATGTGTAAGCTGTAGCACAGGGCAAACACAGGGCAGGGCTTTGCAGAGGAGGTAACCAATTATTTAACTTCTGACTTTGGCATCACCCCGCTTAGCTTGCAGCTCTTGCTAGTATGATCACCTGCCGTAGAAGCAGTGGCATGGGGTGTTCAGGACATTTTCTGCCTGTCAAGTGCACCCTGGCTAGTTATGCTTTATCAGGGCTCCTCATCTACGTGGCATGCCTCATTGGTGAGTAGCATTTGCATGGGTGAAGATGCATCCCACTAGAACATGTGTATGGGGAAAGAGGTATCTGTGATCTGCAAGAATGGGGAGACTGGGCTTGCAGACAGGCTGGGAAAAGCATCCTTTTACCTGTCAGCCTTTAAAAAGGAAGGGAAAATGGTGGATGTGGCAGGAGGCCTTACTAGCTGGATAGTTACTTTGGCCTCTGCACAATTTTCCTTGCACAGAGTGGTTGGGAAATGTTTGGAGCCTTACCAGTCTGTTACTGTTAAGATCACAAACTGCATATTTGTGTTGGCCACTTCTTCAGGGCCAGGCTGTTCATTTACAAAGATGGGGCCTAAAGTTCTCTTTCCTCCAACACAAATGAGAGCAAACACTTCTACTGCTCTTCACATCATAGATGACTGATTGCGCTTTAAATCCTCTGATAGCTGACGTGCTGAGGTGTTGTTATTTCCTGTTCATGCCTACTTAATTTTATGTTCTCTTCTTTCCAAATAATATCTCTTCGCTTCTCAGCCCATCAAAATTCATTATTTTTGTGCATAGCTGGAACACCACCCACTGGCTCTTGACTCCCTACAACATCATGCAAATCACTAATTAAAATACAAGGCTGCACACAAACAACTCCCTTCACTGTCTTAGCATAGAACAACAGAATCACAGAATGACAGAATAATTGAGATTGGAAGGGATCTCTGAATCCATCTAGTCCTGTCCCTTACTCAAGCAGAGACATTGCCTAGGACCATGTCCAGACTGCTTTTTAAATTCTCCAAGGAGGAGAATCCACAATCTCCCTGGGCAAACTGTGCCAGTGCTCCATCACTCAAAGAAGTAAATAATTGCTTCCTGATATTTAGACTTCTTTATATTCTAGTCTTGCTCATTGCCTATTGTCCTGTTCCTGGAGACCACAGAAAAGAGCCTGGATCCATCCTCTTTCCACCCTCCTTTTAGATATTTATGTATGTTGATAAGATGCCCCTGAGCCTTCTCCAAGCTGGGCAGTCCCAGCTCTCCCAACTGCTTCTCACAGGAGATGTGCTCCAATTCCTTCATCATCTTTGTAGTCCTCCACAGGGCTTTTCCCAGCATGTCCATGTTCTGCTGTGCTGAGGAGTCCAGAACTGAACCCGTAGCTCCAGATGCACCCTCATTAGTGCTGAACAGAGGTGAAGGATCACCTCTCTTGACCCGCTGGTAGTACTTTATGTAATGCAACAGCTGACTGGTAGCTACTCCATACATCCAAAATTTTCCATCCACTCACTGCAGTGTTTTCATTTTGTTCCTGAACATGTTCGGGAAAGAAACATCCAAATCCTCTTTAAAGGCAATTGTCCTTTATTAGGAAAATGCAGAGCATTTTCTTTCCTAGATCTGGATTTTTTTTGATTTGCTTACCAAAGGAGAAGTGCTTCACGTTGCTGGTTGCAGAGGCCATGTAAAGCTAGCACAGGTGGTGTAGGCATTCCCAGCTCTTCTGCACAGGACCCTTTGTGAGTGCTGTGTCCCTTGCAGAGCAGCTCACTTCCCACTGGGTTCCCCTCCACCTGTCAGATGGATCACACTGCTGTGCTGGCCACATCGAGGTGTTCTACAGCAACAGGTTGGGAGCAGTGTGCGATGACCACTGGGACCTGGACGAGGCCAATGTTTTGTGCCAGCAGCTGGGCTGTGGCAATGCACTGCCAGCCACTGGAGACAGGCAATTCAGGGCTGGATCTGGACCCATCTGGTTGGATGGTGTCAATTGCATGGGGACAGAGGTTGCACTTTCTTAGTGCAGATGCAAATGACTGGGGAAAAAACAATTGCCACCATGGTGTGGTTTGCTCAGGTAACACCTGAGGAAATTATAGGGTGGGAGGATACAGTTGGATATTTTGTGGTTCATCCCATATGGAGATCTGTAGGCAAAAGAGCAAATTGGAAATCAGTTTTGGAAACTGGATTATCGGAAAATCAGTGCTCATTCCACCTTGCAAATGTCCTGAGATGCTGAGCCACTTCTGTGGGATGTGCCTTTTGCACATCATGCTTCTCCGTGATTGGAAGGACCCTTCCAATTGGTTGAATTTCTGGGGAAGAAGACAACATTAGAGATGAAGCCACCCATTGTGTTTTTCAGGCACTGTAAGACTCAACTTTAGGCAGGGGAGAGGGACCAAAAGGAGGCATTCAGATACTTCCTCACTGTTTCTAATAGAAGGGACACCAGATTGTTCCTGTGCTTTAACCACTGTCAGTGTGAAATCAGCTTGAGAAATCTTTTGCAACCACAAAATATGTCAGTTGGACATTTGGTGGCTTATCGAGGTACAGGCAATTGGTGGGTATTGTACATCCCTGTGCCAAAATTGTCCCAGTAGATAATCATGATCTGATAGTGATAGGACAAGGGGAGCAGTTTTAAACTATAAGAGAGAGGATTTAGGTTGGATGTTAGGAGACAATTCTTTTTAAGAGAGTGGTGAGGCACTGGAACAGATTGCCCAGAGAAGCTGTGGATGCCTTATCCCTGGAGGATAGCTCAAGAACAGGTTGGATGGCATCCTGTGCAGCCTGATCTAGTGGATGGCAACCCTGCCTGTGGCAGTGGGTTTGGAACTGGATGCACTTTAAGGTTCCGTCCAATCCAAGCCATTCTATGATTCATAGATCATATGGGGAGCTTTTCAGATGCTGAGAGCATGAATGGCATAAAGATGTGCTTGTAGCAAGTGGGTCTAATGCTACCAACTCAAGCCATTTTATGATTCTATGATTCTATAATTCTACGAAATGAGAGGCAAAGGGTTTTCATGGTGCACCTCTTCTTGTAGGCTCAGACAGCCACCACCTGGATCCTAGCACTGGTTCTGCAGAGCTGCGCCTGGTGAATGGCTCGAACCGCTGTTCTGGGAGAGTGGAGATACTGTATTATCATCAGTGGGGAACTGTGTGTGATGACGACTGGAGCTTTATTAATGCCAAAGTGGTGTGCCGGCAGCTGGGCTGTGGGGAAGCAGTATCATCCCATAGCTCGGCATACTTCGGCCAGGGGTCAGGTCCCATTTGGCTAGACAATGTTCAGTGCACTGGGACGGAAACTGCCCTATCTCAATGTCAGGCCAGGCCACTGGGATTCAATAACTGTGACCACGGAGAAGACGCTGGAGTTGTGTGTGCAGGTAACCTCTGATAACATCATGCTGGCATACCAGAAGTTCAGAGGAGGATGCATTTCTCCAGGGCTTAATACCATTTTCAAAGCTCCAACAAAATGATGAGTGGCAGATACCTCGGTAGAAGGGTGACATTGTCCTCTCTCTTCTCTAGTGCAAAGTGTCATGCTGCACTTCTTAGCAGAATTCCTTGGGATGTATACAGAAAGCCTCTTCCTTTGGAGATTGCTGGGATCTCCAAGCCAATACAACAGGTTCCTGGACCTGTTAGAAATAGATTGCAGAAGTTTATGGGAACAGTTCAATGTTCACACATTTAATGTGGATGGGCTCTGAGGCTACACTGCTTTGTGTGCACGCCTACTCAACAGCTCTGAATCTTCCTGTATATTATACTGGTTGCATCATTGTAGAGATGATCAGAGGGATGAAGCACCTCCCCTGAGAAGACAGGCTTTGGTAGAAAGCTTTGGGGAGATCTTACTGACACCTGTCAGTACTTAAAAGGCACTTAGAAGAAAGACAGAGAAAGTCTTTCTACACCATCTAATATTCCCAGAATAAGGGGGAATTGTTTTAAAGTAAAATAGGAGAGATTTAGGTTATATGTTTGGTGGAAACTCTTTACTCAGAGAGTGGTGAGGCCTTGGCACAGGCCAAGACAGCTGTGGATGCCCCATCCCTGGAGGCATTCAAGGACAGGCTGGATGGGGCCCTGGGCAGCCTGATGTGCTGGGTGACAACCAGCCCACAGCAGGCATTTGGAACTGGATGATCTTTAAGGTGTCTTCCAATATATGCCATTCTATGATTCTATGATCTTTAAGGTCTCTTCCAAACTAAGCCATCCCACGATCTTACAATCACTAAGGTACCTTTTAACCTAAGGCATTCTATGTTTCTCTCTCCCTTTTGCCATCAGAAGGCATAGTCACCAAAACACCATCTCAACTGCGCCTGGTGAATGGCCCCAGCCACTGCGCGGGGCGCGTGGAGGTGCTGCACGACCACCAGTGGGGCACAGTGTGTGATGATGACTGGAGTCTGAGCGAGGCCACGGTGGTATGCCGGCAACTGGGCTGTGGGATGGCTGTCTCAGCCCCAGGCTCAGCTCACTTTGGGCAAGGCTCTGGCCGTGTTTGGCTGGATAACGTGAACTGCACAGGAGCAGAAGCTACGCTCTCTGAGTGCCAGAGGAGGCCATGGGGATCCAACGACTGCACCCACAGGGAGGATGCTGGTGTGGTATGCTCAGGTGAGCCCTATCTATAAATACTAATTGAAACTAGGTGATCTTTAAGGTCCCTTCCAACTCAGGCCGTGCTATGTTACTATGCAGCGTTGGTGCAGCAACAATCAAATCACATCTTTTTATCCGGATAGCTGCCTTTTCCACACATGGTGAAGAATAAAATAGAATCAGAGAATGGTGGGAATGCCACACCAGGTGACGCCCTTCCTTCTACAAGACCTCAGCAAGCTGTTAGGAAGACTATGTGCAGAAAGAACCACCCAAAGAGAATTATTCTCCTGTCTTCTCCCTTTCTGATAACTCTAGCTGCATAAACTTGTCTCCAGTGCTTCCTACCATTTTGCATGATCACTACTGACCCTAGAACCCTTTATCAGGCACTGAGCTCCAAACTCTGGAGCTGTGGCCTCTTTTTATGTGAGTAGATGAGAGGAAAATCCCAAGACATCTTTGACAATGTATTTCCTAGGCATCTTGAAGGATGTAGTATTAGTTTTCCCATGGTTTAATCCCTTGGAGCCGTAGCTGTTGAGCAAGCATGAATGTACATTTTGTTCCCTATACAGAGACAAAGACTTCAGAGCACCGTATGGTGAGGCTGATGAATGGATCAAACAACTGCATTGGGAGAGTTGAGATTTTTCATGACCAGAAGTGGGGGACTGTGTGTGATGACACTTGGGACCTACAGGATGCTACAGTTGTGTGCCGGGAGCTGGGCTGCGGGATGGCAATGTCAGCACCAGGCTCAGCTCATTTTGGGCAAGGTTCAGACCCCATCTGGCAGGACAACGTTCACTGTATAGGAACAGAGTCCACTCTTGAGGAGTGTACACTGAGCAGCTGGGGAGAACACAACTGCGGTCACAGTGAGGATGCTGGCGTGGTGTGCACAGGTAACACTATGGGCACAAGAGTGGGACATCCAGAAGAGTCCCAATCCAATGGGAATTGATGTGGGCTTGGACACAAAGACATTGTTCTGCCTGAGGGTTGTGACAGACTTTCCTTTTTCCTTCTTTCCTCTTTTTCCCAAGCACTTGGCTTGGAGTGCAGAAATACTACCATTCCTTTTATAGCATTCATTTGCTTTGTTGTAGATGCTTCCTACCAGGTGTACCTGACTGAGGCATGAGCATGAGGTGGATTGCACATCCTGAGTCGTGTCTGAGAGCCATATGCATACATCCAAGACAATGTAGGGCAACCTAACCCCATCTTCAGGTCAGGAGACCCTGAGCAATGTCACATTTTCACATCTGACAATGTTTCCTAAATTGGTTAGAGACCAAGGTACTAAGTGTAGGTGTCTATCTACTCATGGGATTAGCTGGCCAGACTTTGGGCACTGTCAGAGGTTATCCAGCCAACTGAGTCAAGAGTGGCTGGAGAGATGCTCAGGCTGGAGACACTGTGAAGCAGATGACATTTGCTTACCTGAGTTGCTAGTCAGGCCCCACTGCCTGCACATGAACAGGACCCCATTCCTCAATTATCAATTCTCCTTTAGATGCCTTAAGGTACCAAAACATGCACACAAGACTGGAAGATGTTGCTTGACAGTTCCTCTGTAGATTTCACGTTATGGAGAGATGAATTCTGCTCCTGAAGTGCCTTGTTGGACTTTTAGGAGCCTGCTCCTGGCTCTCTCCCATGTAGGGAATACTCTGTGCTGAAGACACCAACTGTTGGTTAGATAAACCCACCTCAGAGGTGAATCAGGAGTGGCCTGCACTGTCCCACTTTTCTGTTCCAGCACTAAGGAAAATGTGTATTATTTCTTCGATGGAGAAAAGTAGTGCAGGTGAACATATTTAAGATTGACTGGCTAGAAAGTCTTGTCTTAAGTCATAACTTTGCACATAGGCTGGGATCTTCATGACCCACTTCAGTTTTTGGTAGACTTTTGGGACAGCTATTCAACTTAAGTTTTAAGTCAGATGTTAGGGAATCCATCACGTCTACAGGGAAATTGGCCTGATAAGAAATTAACTTCACTGCCGGTATTTTCTTCAATTTTGTTTGTTTGTTTGTTTGTTTGTTTGTTTAGTTTATCTGAATTGAACTGTTAATTCCATTTCACCTTTGCCTGCAGAATTAAAGTGCCCTGTGCTATCACACACCTTCAACTATAGGTGCACACAGGGCAGAAATGAGCCTCCCCATCCCACTTTTTATTCAGCTCTGTATTTAGGAAGTTCCATGTCTTTTCCTTGGAAAGGAAGATTTCAGTATGTGTGTGTTTGAGAGAAAGGTGCCATAAACACCTTGAGAATGATGCAGTATTGCAATAGGTGACTTCTGAGAAGTTTCTTTGATTGTGAACCATTTATACATGCTTTATAATGCCTTTGCACATTCAGAAGGTGTTTAATAATATGCCTTTGCAAGGAGTTGTGCATCCAACTTATACTGACTTAACCTACAGTCACTCTAGCTCACCAATGACAGCACCTTGTGATGGGCAAAACCTTGTTAAAAATCAAGATGCACATTTCCCAGTGTCTGGATGCCCTAGAATGGTGTGGATCTTCCATGATTCCCATTTTGCATCTACTTGTCCTCTAGTGACGTGGCTTATAGAGGAATCTCATGCAAGGCATTGGAGTAGGGCAGTAAGCCTAACTCTAAGCAATGTGTGCTGCTGAATAGTTGCTTGCCTATAGCAGTGCACTGAAAAAAATGGCCTAGAGCAAGTCAGAAAGCATGTCTCTAGTTGAATATTCTTATGAAGTGTGAGCCAATGTGTGTGTGCATTAGTGTGCTGGCATACGCGTTGTATGTGTATGTGTGCTATTCCTCACAATCCTCTGCTTCCATGCAGCTGTCAATAAAGCACAAACCTCACCTGTCAGCATTTTTTCTGTGCTAGTGCCCATGTCACTCTCCTTCCAAACTCTCCATCTCCATGAGTGTGGAGGGTCCAAGGACATCACTTCCCCCCTCTGCTCTCCACTGCAGGCACCAACCCCTTGCAGCTGCGGGTGCAGGATGGTCCTGGTCCTTGTGCGGGGCGTGTGGAGGTTCTGTACAATGCTACCTGGTATGGCGTCTGTGACAGCAGCTGGACCATGCTGGAAGCCAAGGTGGTCTGTAAGCAGCTGGGCTGTGGACCAGCAGAGTCTGCACCCATTGGAGCCCAGTTCAGCCAAGGGCATGACCTTACCTTGCTAGAGGGGCTGAGCTGCCGTGGCACAGAATCTCTCTTCCTGGAGTGCCAGCAAAGAAATATAGGTCCAGGACTGTGCAGACATGGCATGGCAGCTGGTGTGGTGTGCGCAGAGATGAAAGGTGAGTGCTAGGAACCTCCATCATCGTATTGCAGTTGGCACCATTCTGAACTAGTGTATGAACTAGTGTCGAACTAGGTCTCCAGGACAGGTAGTGGTCCCACTTAGCCATGGTACAGAAGACACGGGGTGATAGCCACTCTCCCTGCTCCTTCCCTAGTCTTATCTCCTTCCCAGACAGGCAAAAGTGCTTCCAGAAACCATTAGATAGGGTAGAGGCACCTGAAGGAAGTAGTTGTAGACATTAATGTGGGATTAATTAGGAGAATGCATTTCAGCAGATGTGGCTGAGACTAGGCAAGACCAGTGGGCTTTGATTTCTGCAAATGTGTAGTCTCCTATTTCTAATAGGGCTCTGTAATGGCTTGCTGTCTCCGATGGGTGTCTGAGAACGCAGAGATCTCCCTTGTTTCCATTAGTCCAAGGTAGGGTTTCATGCACTCAACAAAGATAAACTGACAGGGTGAAGCCTGAGCCCCAGGGAGAGTTGTGATGGAAGATATTGAAATTTCCCAAAAATGTGCAGCAGAAATGAAGGGTAAGAAGAAACTCTAAAGGAGAACATGGGTTCAACCATCTAACCAAACTCCTCCATGCTGAACTCTTTCTGCAGACATTATGCATTCCTGCTCAGTGTTATCAGGTCTTCTTGGCGTGGTGGCGATGTTCTGTGGGATCCTGTTGGTCATGTACTTGGGAGTGAGATGTAGAAGACAGGCTGGACGCATCCTGGGTAAGATTAGGACCACTATGCATGACATACCTGGTCTCCTTGCAGGACTTGTTGTGCTTTTGAATGCATTTCTGAGATTGGTGTTTGTATCCTCTGTGCATCATCCTGCTCCTTTATTTTGCAGACAAGTCACGTGTAAGGAAAATGGAGAATGCTGGGATGTCTTAGTTAGCCACACTTCTGATACCAAAGGCAAGACTCTCAGGACCCCAGAAAGCAGCAGAGACACTGTTCTGTGGAATCAGAGGAGCAGAACCGCCATAAAAGGACAGCAAAGAAGATATCCTCTAGCAATCCCATCACATGTGCCCATAGCCCTGGCTCACAGTACAGAGCCTCTTGGGGTCCCAGTTCCACCCTTGACCACATACAGCACCATAAGTCCCTCAGTCTCCAAGAAAGGTCTCAGAATGATAACTCCTGGATGGTCCTCCAGGTAGGGTCCAGCATCCCAACACCATCTGCCACCCTCATTCCCAGCCCTACAATCCTGCCCGTTCCATCACCCCAACAGGGATAACACCTTTTCCTCTAATCTCCCGTGGAAATCATTTTCTGAACCAGAAAGAAGTGAGCAGGATGCTCTACTGAACTGTACTTAGTTAACGTTGCAAAATGAACAATGCGCTTCAAAACCTCTCCAGAATGAAGTACCTCACCCACTGTATTTATTCAATCCAATTTTTGAATACTAGTAAAAAATCCTGAAATATGGAAGAGCAAGAATGCAATGTTATTTATGTATTCTGGGATACATTGAGACTTAACCTGAAGTCTAGGCAAGGTGAATGTGATAGAAAAATGGGTCCTTTGTCTATGGAGGTGTAATAGACAGTCCGATCAGATATAGGAGTCTGAAAATTACTGACGTTGGGTAAGATATTGTGCTGGCCACAAAGAATGGCTTGTGTGTGACCCCATTCGTAATGGATCAACCCATGGAGCCAAGTCTGAGCCGAAAACCATCGACCATAGGGTCCATAGTCGGGAGAGAGGAATATGCCAGTGCAAAAGGGAGAGAAGAAATGACCACAAACTCCACTAGTTTGTGGTGAAGATTTGCCAGGCCAAAGAAAAAGTGATCTTTACGGCCTCTTCCAACCCCAGACATTCTATGTCTGGGGGAGCCTATGTCCTCTGGAAGAAGGGACATGTTACTTGGGGAGATTACAAGGAAGTTGCTAAGGAATGCAGGGAGGAAGTTAGGAAGGCAAAAGCCCAACTTGAACTCAGATTGGCCACTGCAGTAAAAGAGAACAAGAAATCCTTTTACAAACATGTAAATGGTAAGAACAGAACCAAGGATCATTTCCATTTTTTACTTGATGCAGTGGGGAATGTGACCACTGAGGATAAGGAGAATGCTGAGATCCTCAACACCTTTGTTACATCTGCCTTTAACAATCAGATCAGTTATCCTTAGGGCACTTTACGCCCTGATCTGTAAGTCTGGGATGCTACGCAGAATACACCCCCTGTGATTCAGGTGGAGACTGGTAGAGAGAATAAGGTCTCTCCTGAGCCTTTTCTTTTTCAGATTAAACAATCCCAGCTCCCTCGGCCTCTCCCCTTAACATTTGTGCTCAAGACCCCTCACAGCTTCATTGCCCTTCTCTGGACACGCTCCAGGGCCTCCATGTCTTTCTTGTAATGAGGGCCCCAAAACTGAACGCAGCACTCGAGATGCGGCCTCACCAGTACTGAATACAGAAGGATTATCACCTCCTGCTCCTGCTGGCTGCACTACTGCTGATATAAACCAGGATGCCATTGGCCTTTTTGGCCACCTGGGCACACTGCTGGCTCATGTTCAGTCGAGTGTCGACCAAACCCCCCAGGTCTATTTCTTCCACACAGTCTTCCAGCTACTCTGCCTCAAGCCTGTTGTGTTGCCTGGGGTTGTTGTGGCCAAAGTGCAGGGCTTGCAGAATCACAGAATGTCAGGGAAGAGGCCTTGAAATATCATTTAGTCCAATTCCCCCACTGGAGCAGGAACAGCTAGATCAGGACACACAGGAACACATCCAAGCGGGTTTTGAATGTCTCCAGAGAAAGAGACCCCACAACCTCTCTTGGCAGCCTGTTCCAGTGTTCTGTTACCTTTACTGTGAAGAAGTTTTTTTCTAGTATTTATGTGGAACCTCCTATGTTCCAGCTTGCACCCATTGTCCTATCATTGGATGTCACTGAGAAGAGCCTAGCTCCGTCCTCCCAATACTCACCCTTTATATATTTATAAATATTAATGAGGTCACCTCTCAGTTTCCTCCAAGCTAAAGAGACCCAGCTCCCTCAGCCTTTCCTCGTAAGGGAGATGCTCCACTCCATCATATTTGTGGCTCTGTGCTCTACTCTCTCAAGCAGTTCCCTCCCCTTCTTCAACTGAGGGGTCCAGAACTGGACACAATATTTCAGATGCAGTCTCACCAGAGTAAAGGGGGAAGAGAACCCCTCTTGACCTACTATCCACAGCCCTTCTAATACACCTCAAGATGCCACTGTTCTTGGCCACAAGGGCACAGTGCTGGCTCATGGTCATTCTACTGTACACCAGGACTCCCAGGTCCCTTTCCCCTACACCGCTCTCCAACAGATCAGTCCCCAAACTATACTGGTACCTGGGATTGTTCTTGCCCAGATGCTAGACTCTACACTTGCCCTTGTTCTATTTCATTGAATTTCTCCCAACCCAGCTCTCCAGTCTGTCTAGGTCTTGCTGGATGGCAGCACAGCCTTTGTCAGCACTTGGTCTTGTTGAACTTCATCCCATTGGCCTCAGCTCAGCAATCAGCCTATCCAGGTCCCTCTGTAGGGCCTTCCTACCCCCAGACACTTCCTGCCAACATGGCGTCATCTGCAAACTTACTGAGGGTATATTCGTTGCCCTCATCCAGATCATCAACAAAGATATTAAACAGAGCCCGCTCCAATACCAACCCATTTTTTTTTTTTTTTCCCTAAATAAATTTCTGCCCCAAAGACTTTTCTTCCTCAAGTTCCTAGCAAGTCTCTGAGGTTCACAGTTTGATGGCAGAAATGTGAACACAAGGTTGAAGAAGAAAAACATCCCCTGCTAACATATAAGCCTTTTATTTTTTTTTCTGTCTGTCTTGGAAGACCCAGTCATCCAGCCTTGCTTGTCCCAAAGTTTAGGGGAAAATGGAGGGCTCAGTCTCAATTACTGCCTGAGAAAAGGACTGGAGCCTGTGTGTAAGGAAAGCATCGACTATCAGCATCATTCTGTGTGTGTATATAACAAAATATGTTCAGAGTTTAGACAATGTCTTTGTAATAGGAACATGCTTGCATTCCTCAAGCAGATGATGTATCAAAGAACCTCTGAGTCATGCCCTGCTATTACTAAGGCAAATTCAGATTAGATAGTTTGGATTACTGAGGGTTCTTCATATCTCCAACGTGTAGGATCAGCACCTCCTAGAGCTGAGCTTGGGCAAGGACTTCAATATCTCAGGAAGGAATTTCAGAATTCCCATAGGATACAGCACACAACTTCAAAAGGGATAGAAGGGGCACAGGAGCAAAACTCACTTTCAGAGCAGCTATTTGCCTAAGCTATGAAAACAGAAGCACTCTCGCTCACAGCTGCATTGGCCGTGTCAGGCTAGGACAGTTCATAGCATTTTTGAGACGGTCAGTGTCGGGAATTTCTTTGTTGCTGTCCTGTTTGTTGACAAAGCAGGGGAACAAAGTCCTTGGGCACACTGAGCCTTATTACAACAGAAAACAGTTGCCTTTCTCAACTACTCTTCTTTTTATGAGCTTGGATTCATTTCTAGCTTTTCACCACCCATTCTTGTACTAGTATTTTACTTTTGTTTCATATGCATCTTTTTCCTTTTGCTCTGCAACCCTACCTCTGCATGCTTCTCAGCATGTCCCTGCAGTTCATGTTTCTCTTATTTATTGCTCCTACTATCTTCTCTACAACTCTGTTGGTTTTTGCCAGGCTGAACATTTCAATTCAGCCTGAGACCATCCTGGTCATGCTAGATCCTTCTCCCATAACTGGCTTTGGTTTCATTTCTTATTTCTGTACACACAGGGCAAGAACTCTCCACCCTGTTTCTACAGGAGCCACATCCTTCCTCATCCCTGTCTTCAGTGCACCACTAGCACAGCACCCACCACAATCTTAACATCCCCATTTGGAGCAACAAGAGGCATTAATTTAATGATTTAGCAAGCTCTTTTTTTTTTCTTGTTTTTTTTTTCTTTCTTTCTTTTCTCCCAGCAGCATGCTTCTGACCCCCTCCTTGCAAAATTGCATGCCACCAGGTTGTGCATTTTGCAAGGGATGGGAGACAAAAATCAGCAAATTCCTGCACCTCATCTGCTTCTTTTATTGAGTAAAAGAATAATTTTGTGCATTTTCTCTCAAACTGAACCCGAATGGCAGTGAACCTATACAAATGCCTTAGCCATTGGCCATGTTGATTGTTCTAGTGGGAACCCACAATGGTTAGGGGAAATTTATGGAGCAGAGTACAAGTGTATATGGACATTTATTTCCCCTTTTCCCTCTGGCATGAGAGCTGTTTTCTGGCCAGTGTCATGCTGGCTCCAGACTCCATCTAAAAGGAATTTTCAACATTTCACAGTTCAATTTCTTGCAGTTGATGCTCTCTTATTGCCCCAAATCCAATCAGATACATTTAATGAAGCAAAACAGGCAAAATTTACCCATTCCCGTACATGAAAGCTTGATTTAGGTCATCAGAAGAAGTCATCTTGTGCTATAACCATGACACAGCAGGACCACGGAGATGCCCTTGGGGCTGGCACGTAGAACACGGGACCAGGGTGCAGAGAGGGTTGTGTTTGCTCTGTATGTTCCTGGAACAGCTCTCCATTTCACAACCTGGAGATAGGAGCAGGCTGTGGCATGGAGCAGAGGGTCACCTGCTGGAACAGCTTCACACAAAGCCCAAGTGACCAAGGGGCAGAGGAAGCTGGGCTGGCAAAGCAGGGAAAAGCCCAGAGTAAAGGAGGGAACAGGAAGAGGGCTTGTTGCTGAAATGCCTGTCACTCCCATCTGCCCCAGTTCCTCTCTGTCCCTCCCAGCTGGCCGGTGGGACCCGGCACTCAGCTGCTGGCCCTCAGCAGGGTGTTCTGCTCCAGCTTCCAGCCCATGGATGCGTGAACATGGGGCTGCCTGGTGCACTCCATCCTTCACCCAGGTTCCCCTGGGGCAGAAACCAACCCAGCTGCACTGGAGCCAAGAGTGTGGGGGTCCTCCTCCTGATGGTGTGCCTTTGGGGTGAGTGATGCTTTGCTTCCGACCACAGGGATCCCATATGCAACGCATGCTCCTCCAGTGGGAGTGGAGTGGGAGTGGGGATCCAGGGTTTCTTAGAATACAGCACAGGCTGGTCAAGGGTACTGGGATTCATTTCTTGAGGGGCCAGCTCACTGAGTCTTTCCAGTACATAAAGGGAGCTGATAAACATGAAGGAGACCACTTTTTGTCATATTCTGACAGTGATAGAAGAAGAAGGAATGGCTAAAGTAATTGAGGGGAGATTCAGGTGAGGTGTTAGGAGGAAATAGGACAGATAGCATTGGCAAGGGCTGCCCAGAGTACCTGTGACTGTCCCATCCCTGGGGGCGTTGAAGGTTGGATGGGTGTGATATGTGATATGGTGGGGGGCAACCACCCCATGGGACTACATGGGTTTTCCAACCCAAGCCATACTGTGACATTATGACTGCATGATTGTATGATCCTATGTTTCTATGGTTCTATTATTTGGGGCAAGAAGGAATATCTTGTGATGGTTTTGGAGTCAGGAGAGATGTCTTTATGTGAGGCTAACTCCGCAGACTGAACTCTCAAAGGCATGTATCATCTCCCTGCCTCTTCACACGTGACTTTGTCAGAGAATTAGAGACTTGGGACTTAGCAGTGTTATAAGAGCAGAGGGAAATATGCCCAGTTTTCATCCTGAATCTGTCCAATAGACACTTGTGGTGGGTCTTCTATCCTGCCAAACCTTGGTTTATTCAGGGCTGAATCCAACCAATTGCTGATATAGCAGAATAAAAGGGGCTCAGGTGGACTCAACTCCCATTTGCATGGGGTAGGATGGGCAATTGCAATGTCCCTGTGCAGATTTTGTTATGGGATTGGTTAAGAAGGGGCCTAGGGCTTTGTTTAAGTTGCCACAACTCGGAGCAGAAGTGGGTTATTTGATCTGGGCACCATTTAAGTGCTTTTTCAGCTCTCCCCTCTTCTTCAGATCATGTTTGGAGGAAATGAAACTAGGAATATGCTTTCTCTGTCATTACAGGCAACTAGGCATATAGGAGTCATCTGGGCTGGGCCTGCCTAGGGTAGCCATGATATCTCATTTTCTGCCCAAGGCAAGATACCAAGCAATCCACTAGCTCTGCAAAGTCTTGCCTATGAGGTTGATTTGTTATTGCTTATGAGAGGGTAGTTTCTAGTAAAAATGAGGAAAGAGAGTACAATGCCCATGTGCATGGGGAATGGAGAGCATGCAGTCTGGGAAGTGAGTGCCTGAGGTGCATCCATTTCAGACTCATCATCAAAGCGGTGTCTTTGCAAAGACATTTTCTTACTCCCTGCCCTTATAAATAGAAGAGCTGAGCTACTCCAGACTGCACACAGAAAGACAGTTTGTTCTTTTCAGGAAGCCTATGGCTCCCTACTTCCGGCTCATGTCTAAGAATGATGTAGGGATTTGATTTCTACACTGCTTCTTCCTCCTTCTTGCCTCTGTGACCTCGCATGTGTTATATCTGACTCTCTGCCTACTGATTTGGGGAAATACTTGCACTTTCCCAACTGGAATTGTTCGGTCTTCCCTGTTCTAAGTCAGGCATGTGATAGAAAACCAGCAGATAAAAGCAAACAGCAGAGAGTGACGTGCCCCAGCAGAAGGCAGGTCCCATTTTAGGTAGAAACTGTTACCCTGTGCTGGTAAAAGAAGGATAAAAGGAGGATGAGGTGTTCAGCAGCTCAGATTTTAGCAGTTTTGGAGGATGGGATACCCGGCTGAGGGAATACGCAGACAACAGGTCCCAACACAGCTTATGACTCAGCTCTGGGAACAGCAAAACTGTGCTGGACCTGAGCACAGATTGGTCAAAAATCTCTTTACAGAATGGAATCACATTCCTCTTCAGCATTTATTTTTATGCTGACCGTTAAGCTCTCTGCATTAGTGTCACTTCCAGTTAGCTTATTGCTCCACTTTGTTACTGCTCGTGCTAAGCGTGCATAAGGAACTAGAGGCAATTTTTTGCTGCAGGTCTTGCAGAGTGAGGAAACCTTCCCATGAATAAGAATTTTTCCACTTCTCCAAACTCTGTGTGTAGCTGCACCACATGCAGTTGTTCTATGGTTATAGAACCTTTATCTATTGCATGAGCAGAAAGAGAACTCTTGGCGTGTGGGATCCATATTGACGTTAACAGGAGGAAATTCAGGCAGTTTGATACACAGATAGCACTCAACAGCTTACAAACACTCAGGGCTTCTGGTGTTGCCTCAGGGTGCCCAGGGCATGTGCAGTAATACAATCACCGATTATAGTCATAGATTTTCTTGGGTTGGAAGGAACTCACTCCTCACTCAGTACTGGTCAGTCTAAGAGTTAAACTATATATCGAAGATTGCTATTCAAACACTACTTGTGCTCCCTCAGCTCAGGGCTGTGATCACTATTCCTGGCAGCCAGCTCCAAGCCCTCCTCTCTCTAGTGCAGAACCTTTTCCAAAACACCCAGCCTGATTCTCCCCTGATGTATTTCCATGCCTTCCCTTGGGTTCTGTTGATATCACCAAAATTATCAGCACTTGTCCCTCATGAGAAATCTGCTGGTCACCATGCTTCTCCTCAGTCTTCTCTGGGCTGAACAATTCAAACAGCTTTAGCTGCTCCTCATACATCTTGACCTCTACACCCTTTACCATCTTTGCTGCCTTCCTCTGGACACTCTCTAGTAATGAGAGAAATCATAGAATCATAGAATCACAGAATCACATAATGGTTTGCATTGGAAGGGACCTTTAAGATCATCTAGTTCCAATCCCCCTGATATAGTCAGGGATATCTCTCACTAGTCCAGGTTGCTTACAGCCTCATGCAGTCTGGCCTTGAATGCTTCTAGAAAGAGCGCATCCACAACCTCTCTGGGCAACCTGTTCCAGTGTCTCATCACCCTCACAGTAAATAATTTCTTCCTAATATCTAGTCTAAATCACCTCTCAACACTTCTCTTGATGCAGCCCAGGATATGGTTGGCTTTCTAGGCTGCAAGAGCACATTGATGGTTCATGCTGATACTTTCAACAACTGGAACCACCAAATCCTTCTCCTTAGGGCTACTCTCAAGCCATTCTCCACTCAACCTGTATTGTGCTTGGGATTACCCCAACGCAGGGGTAGGATGGGACTCAGCTGCCTATAAACAGATACACAGGGTCACCTCACATTTTCTTGGCCATGTAGAATCAGAATATTCTGAGTTGGAAAGGACTGGCTAGTGAGAGTTGCAAGAACCTGAATTCTAGCTCTATACAGGACAACCAAAGTTAAATCATATATTTAAGAGTGTTGTCCAAGCTCTTCTTGAATACTGACAAGACTGGAGCCATGACCACTTCCCTCAGGCTACCAAGAGATCTTTCTTCAGACTCCTCCAAGCTGAAGATAAGTGTAGTACGGTCAGCAGTTTCTCTGAAACCTCTCCTCTGACCAACATCAGGGGGCAGAGGCATTTCAAATAAGTGAGCAGCTGGGCCCCATCCACCCTAGGATGACACCTCCAGACCCCTTTTTCCTCTTTGTTCTGCAGGTTCAGTGTACCCAGACTCGGTGGAACTCCGCCTGATCAGTGACCATGGCCGCTGTGCTGGGCGAGTGGAGGTGCTCCACAATGGGATATGGGGGACAGTGTGTGGTGACAACTGGGATGCCCATGATGGCCAGGTTGTGTGCCGGCAGCTAAGCTGTGGAACAGTGCTGTCAGTCTCACAAGGGGCTCGGCACGGAGAAGGAAAAGGACCAATCTGGTTGGATGATGTCAACTGCACAGGGACAGAAGCTGCCCTTTCCGAATGCCAGGCCAGGCCGTGGGGACATCACAATTGCGTCCACATGGAGGATGCCAGCGTGGAGTGCTCAGGTGACACAACCAGCCTGTTGTATGGGACCTCCATGCCTGTTCCCCTTCCTGCTGTACCTCATTGTACACAAGTGGCCCACAACGATTCCTCTTGTTTTGTCTACAGAATCCCACATCTCCAAGATTGGTCGGCTCCAGCTGCTCGATGGCCCCAGCCGCTGTGCAGGAAGAGTGGAGGTGCTCCATGACCAAAGATGGGGCACCATCTGTGATGATGGCTGGGACCTTGCTGATGCTAATGTGGTGTGCCGGCAACTGGGCTGTGGAACAGCAGTGCTGGCCACTAAAGCGGCTCACTATGGGAGAGGCCAAGATACCATCTGGTTGGATGAGGTCAACTGCACTGGTACAGAGGAATCCATCTTTGACTGCAAGGCAAGTGCATGGGGAGTCAACAACTGCTACCATGGAGAGGATGCTGGAGTGCTATGTTCAGGTAACTCTCACTCAGATCTAAAGGTTAAATGGCAGCATACAGAACATTTCAGAGTTTTGTAAGGGATCTTGTAAATGCTCAACAGCACTGAGCTTGTTCTCAGAGTGCTCGTTACAGCGTCCCTTTTTGGTGCTGCATGCAGGCAAGTTACCATGGAATGTCTTCTACCTCTGTTCCCCCTCACTTTTGCTGAGTTGCAAGACAAGTGAGCTGTCTGGGATTCCCCATATTCAAATGGGCATTTGCCAGTCACATACGTGGATTACCAAGCACCTACACGTAACTGTCTTGAGGACAATTAACTTATACCATGCAAAGCCTTCTGCAGGTTGTTCATAGAATTTTAGAACAGTTTGAGCTAGAAAGGACCTTCCAACATCATCTAGTCCAACATCTCTGTCATGGGTAGAGAGAATTTTCAGGTTGCTTGAAGTTCTGTCTAACCTAATTTTGAACACTTTCAGTGATGGTGTATCCACATAATCAATGAGCAACCTGTTCCTCTGTCACACCTTCCTCGCAGTGAAGAATTTCTTGCTTACATCTAATCGAAGTCTGCCCTGTTTTGTTTAAAGCTGTTACCCATTTTCCTCTCACAGCACACCCTGGTAAATGGTATTATTTCCTCTTTCTTACAAGCCATCCTTAAATATTGAATGCCCATGTTTATCTCAACCATCTTCTGTATATAAAAGTTTTTAAAGAAGTTTTTGATGCAAGCTCACCAGGCACAGAGGATGCACAACTCCATCAAACAGGAGCAGTCATGTCTCTCTCCTTTCATTTACAGATTCGGGGGTTCCTATTTCAATGGAGCTTCGCCTGGTCAATGGTTCAACTCGCTGCAATGGCAGGGTTGAGGTCTTTCACAACAACACTTGGGCAGCTTTGTGTGACGATGGCTGGGGGATGGCTGAGGCTCAAGTGGTGTGTAGGCAGCTGGGCTGTGGCGAAGCACTGTTGCCTCCTGTTGGGTCTCATTTTGGGCAAGGATCCGGACAGATGTGGCCAGGCAACATAAACTGCACAGGCTCAGAAAGTGCCCTCTTTACATGCAAGACAAGGCAATGGAACAACAGCATATGTCATCCTCAGACATCAGCTGGTGTGGTGTGTTCAGGTAACCAACTTGCGAGTGACATGGGAGGAACAATGCTTGGTTCATCACCGTAATTCTCTGCCTCTGCAGCAAATAATATGCCGTCTGTCACTTTGTTATTGTCGAGGGACATTTGCGGGTTGGAGATACTCTTGCTGTTCTCCTTGGCATGGTTGCAATGGCAAGTTTCAGGTTCCATACTCTTGCCCCTCTGCCAGAAGGTGCTGGAGGCCACTGGTCTCAGGCAGTCCTTTACATGGTTATGAAATGAGCCTAATGCCATAAGCCTGATGTCATTAAATGAAATGATCAGCTCCAGTATCATGATAATCTTGCCATGCTGTGAAACCACTTGTGGATTGCAGGGTGCCAACTCTTCTCCCCTTTTTGCTCTTTCATTTAATGCAGAGGGTGACCAGATCCGGCTGGTGAATTACAGGAGCCGCTGTGCTGGCAGGGTCGAGATCTTACACAACAAGCATTGGGGAACTGTGTGTGACAAGAACTGGGATTTGCTGGATGCCAATGTGGTGTGCAGGCAGCTGGGCTGTGGGAGAGCACTGTCAGCCACTGGACAGGCTCAGTTTGGCCAAGGGTCCGGAATTGTGTGGCTGGATGGGGTGAATTGCACAGGGTTTGAGTACTCACTATCTGCCTGCTTGGCCAAGCCATGGGGAATCACTAACTGTGACCACTGGGCAGATGCTGGCGTGGTATGCTCAGGTGAGTGCTGCTCCTCTTGCATTTCATTTCTGAAGGAAGTCAGGGGGCTTGCTAGAAGGTGTGGGTACAGCTGGTCCATAACTCATGCAAAGCTGAGCTGGGACCTGGCCTCAGCATCAGTAGTCAGCATGGTCACCATAAATTTGTCCTGTAGCTGGTGAATGAAGAGGGTCCCTTCCTCCCACGCCAAAGTATTTATTTACGAAGATGGGAGGAATTCCAGCAGGCAACCTTCCCCGTGAACCTTTGAGGCTGACCATGTCCAACAACAGGAAGAATAACACTGAGGGGGAAAGTCTGATGCAAATAAACTCTCCAGTGAGCTTTTCATGGTGGGAGTGGGGATTGACAACTTGTGTAGTGCAATCTATGGGCGCAGTATTGTGTTGCAGAGAGAAGCCCTCCTACTCTCCCCTCCTCCTTGCCTTTTAGTGACTGGAAGAGGAGCCAGAAGCTTAAGTGTAAGCAGATAAGCATGGAAGGAATTCTGTAGAAGGGATTTATGGAAGGAAATTTCCAGCATTTATAACACTCTTGGATATTTGCAGACTCGATCATTCCAGAGCCTGCTCATGTCCGACTGGTGAACGGCTCACATCACTGTGCTGGCCAAGTTGAAGTGTTTCACGAGGAGATGTGGGGAGCTGTGTGTGACCATGGCTGGGATAAAAAGGATGCCGAGGTTGTGTGCCGGCAGCTGGGCTGTGGGACAGCACTGTCAGCCTCAAGTGAAGCACACTTGGATGCTGGATCTCTGCGCGTGTGGTTGGACAATGTGAGCTGTGAGGGAACAGAACTATCTCTTACGAAATGCAGAGCAAGCCCATGGGGAAAGAGCAGCTGCAGCCGTGGAAAGCATGCTAGTGTTGTGTGCTCAGGTGGGTTTCAGTGCATAGAACTGGGTTGGGATATACTAGCTGCTCCAATATAGTCAGGTCCTCTTCCACCATCTCACTGGATGGAAGATGGCTACTGTTGGAAGTAGGTAATCTTCAAGGTCCCTCTCAACTCAAGCCATTCTCTGATTTTGTGATTTATCCAACTTTCTTCTAGAGCAAATATTCTCAGATCCTTCAACGGGTGTCTCCACAGTGCTGTGGATTCAGAGGCAATGTAACCACAACGCTTTATGAAGCACTGCCAATGAAAAACAGCATTCCTCATCTTTCTCCACAGAAACTGAATGGATGTGCAGTGTTTGACTGAGTTGCTTCTCTGCTTGCAGGCTCGGTTGTTTCCAGTTTTGCCCCAGTTCGACTGGTGGACGGCCCAGGTCGCTGTGCTGGGAGACTGGAAGTGTTTCACAATCAGCAATGGGGAACGGTGTGCGACGACAGCTGGGAGTTCACAGATGCCGCAGTGGTGTGTCGGCAGCTGGACTGTGGGGTGGTGATATCAACTCCACCGAGGGCTTACTTTGGGCAAGGACAGGGACCCATGTGGCTGGATGACGTCAACTGCATGGGGACAGAAGCTGCCCTCTCTGAATGCAAGTTCAAGGGATGGGGTATCCACAACTGTTATCATCATGAAGTTGTCAGTGTGGTGTGCTCAGGTAAACATTGCCCATCACACAGCAGCTTGAATTGGTGGAACTGAGGCTTGAATTGGTGATTCCATGTGGTTGTAAGGGCCTGTGATTCAAGAACAATTTGCAGCCAGTATGGAGACCTTTGAAATTAAGCCCTTATCATTCACCTTTAGATGGAGGACAACACCTATACTCAGATAAACCAAAGAAAATTAAATGGCTATAGCCCATTTGTACTGGCATCTCCACAAAGAGATCTCTGGCATGCTTTTGACTGGTGCTTTGACTATGCTTATTTAGCACAAATCCTGGCAGCTTCTCATCAGTCAAATAGCCTAAACTATACTGAACTTTAGTCCAATCAAGCCCATTCTAAACAAGCCTTGGGCACTGGGCACCAACTCCTCTGTTTTTTTTTTTTTTTTTTTTTTTCCAGCTAATTGGTATCACATCTAAAAGTCTTCCCTGTCTCTCACTGTCAGTGCATCCTTGACCCTCAAAGCTGTTCAGCCTCTTGTGCAAATGCATTTCTGGTAGCTCACGGTTTCACAGAACAGAAGGTGTTCTCTTATATGTTTATTCTTTCTGATGTTGCAGGATCAGGCATTTCTGACCTAGCAGATCTCCGCCTTGTGAATGGCTCTGATAAATGCTCTGGAAGGCTTGAAGTTTTTCATGACCAGCGCTGGGGAACTGTTTGTGCTGATGGCTGGGACCTGGCTGAAGCTTACGTGGTTTGCAGGCAGCTGGGCTGTGGGGCAGCACGCTCTGCATCAAGCTCTTCCAGATTTGGGGAAGGACCTCATCTGACCTGGGTTGATGCCGTGGAGTGCATAGGGATGGAGCGAGCCCTGTTTGAATGCAAAGTCAAGCTCTGGGGAGCCCAGACCTGCAAGTCCAAGGAATATGCAAGTGTTGTGTGCTCTGAGGCTGTAGGTCAGTGTTGGTGAGTCAGGTATCAGCTTTCTCCTTAGGAGATAATGCCGTTTGTCCCTGTAAATTCACCATTCAACTCCTCTTTATCTTGTCTGAACCACTGCTTGTTTCTACAGACCCACCAGGGATCACAAAATGTTTTTCTTTTAGGGGGTTTACAGAAGGCAAATCCCAAACCTGGGATCCCCAGAAATCTAAGACCTGTAAGACGCAGGCTTTCTTCAAGGGACCATCATGAAATCATACAATTGTTTAGGTTGGAAAAGATTCCAAGGCTATCAGGTCCAAGCGTTAGCCTAGCACTTCCAAGTCTACCACTAAACTCTGTTCTTGAGCTTTGCATCTACTCCATCTTCTAAATACCTCCAGGGATGGAGATTCAACTCCTTCCCTGGGCAGCCTGTTACAATGCTTCACAACCCTTTCAGTAGAGAAATTTTTTCTAATATTCAAACTCAATCTTTCTTGGTACAACTTAAAGTTATTTCCTCTTGTCCTATCACTTGTTGCCTGGGAGAAAACACAAGAAGTTCTGATGCTGCAGGGCTGTATGTTCAGGCAGCTACTCTGCTTGTGTTTTTCCAGTCACTGTTCCTCAGCCACGCTACTATACAGTTCCTGGGAAGTCCAATTATTCCTTGCATGTGCAATTACCTTCAGTAATTAATGTCTTCCTCCTCTTCCCCCAATCAGCATGCTCACTCTTGGCAAAAATGAAGCAGGGAAAGGGTGCATGTATTGCGGGCAGGCAGAGGGCTGCTTTTATGCAAAACCTTTATCTGAGTGATTGGTAGCTCTCTGCATTGATCAGCTGTGTTTGCCTTTGCACTACCTGCTGCAGTTTGGGTAAAGATATGGCCCCGTCTAGCCCCGTCTAGCAAACTGGGACAGAAACTGTCCTCTTTGAGCACCATGTCAGGCATGCAGGAAACATCTGTGTTTCTATCACGGTTGTACCCTCAGCCTTTCTCATTGGTAGATTCAGAAACAGGAGAGGGGAAGCATGAAAAAAAAAATGTGCCAGCTTGCACCTTGTACATGGACCCTCCATAAAGGGTGGTGGAGAATTAGCTGGAGCTACCAGTGAAGCAGACACTTCATGTGGCATAAGTAGATTGTTTCACTACAGTCCTCACCTGTCTGCTGTGATTGACAATGACATCTTAGTATGCATGCTGAGGAGAAAATGAACATTCTTTTCATACTGCTAAGACTGTGTGTGCTGCTGGTGCATAAGGTGCTGTAGATGTAGCGCTCCCAAGCATCTCAGCACCTGTGTATCTACAATCTGGAGACTCCAGATTTGATCTTTTCCCATAGAGCATGACTTCAGTTTCAAATACGTGGCAAGGACTTGGCTAGTATGTAGGGCATGGGCAAAACACTCTTTATCCAAAGATTGTTCATGCATGCATGTGTGGCATTAGCAAAAGTACAATGCAAGAGTACTTGCAAGATCGCAGGATGGAGAGATCCACAATGTTACTGGCAACCAGACAGGCAGGAATTTCTGGCCAGGATCTATTCTCACACTGATTATATTTTCAGATGTAGACCTGCGGAGCCCAGAAGCCCTACGGCTGGCAAATGGTCCACACCGCTGCTCTGGACGGGTGGAGGTGTTTCATAGTCAGCAGTGGGGGACGGTGTGCCATGATGACTGGGATCTGAACGATGCCAATGTGGTGTGCCGGCAGCTGGACTGTGGAACGGCGGTGTCAGCTCCGAGGATGTCTTCATTTGGGCGAGGGTCTGGTCCCATCTGGCTAGAAGGGGTGAAATGTCTTGGGACAGAAGCTACCCTCATTGAATGCCCAGTCAAGCCTAAAGGACTCTATAGTTGCAGCCATTTGGAAGATGCTGGTGTTGTGTGCTCAGGTAATCATCACTGAGTGCTTTCTTTGCAGGTGGATCAAGCCCCGCCCTGTAAGCTGAGGGTTGGGAACAGTATGAGGGCAAGCTGGCCTATAGTTCTTGTGTCCAGGACTTCTCAGACTGGTGGAAATTGTGTTAAAAAAGACAGCTACTGGACACATAGACAAATGTGGAGAATGGGACATGGGTAGTAGGAAAAAGCAGCGCCTTAAGACATACCTTAGTGTCTGAAAATGTCCAGGGTTGTTCAATTTTTCCTGGGGAAAAGCACCTGAAGTCTTCCTGGAGTGGTAGCAGGAGAGTAAAACAGTGCTTCTTAGGTTGGCAGCAGATGCACCAGCTCCCTACCCTGGGTTAAGAACACACAGAGTGACTTCCAGTGCTGCTAAATGCCAGGTCATGAGGATAAATATGGAAAGATGCTCTGGAATATGCAAGGGTAATATGATACACGCTTGTAGCTATCTAATACTTGTCTTGGGAGAGAAACCTCAATGGATAGATCAGTGTAGTGGTCAACAGTCAGGAAAGCACAAACAACAAATAGAAAAATGTCCTTTGCCATTTCCTCTAGTCCAAGAAGTAGGTCATCAAGTAAACCTAGATCATGGAGCTTACTGCAGCAACACCACCTAGACAGACTCAGGGATGTTCATCCTTCTCCAGCTCATTAGATTTTATGCTATATGAGCATAACCTTTATAATGCCTATTCTTGTGTGTTTTTCAGGCTCGGGGACTTCCAATATTTCCACACTTCGGCTGGTGGATGGTTTGAGTGAGTGTGCTGGGAGGGTAGAGGTGTTTTACAACAATGAGTGGGGGACAGTCTGCGATGACAACTGGGACATGAATGATGCGGCGGTGGTGTGTCGGCAGCTGGGATGTGGGACTGCACTGTCAGCCCCGGGATCAGCTCGATTTGGGTGGGGACACAGCCATATCTGGCTGGATGAAGTACGCTGCACAGGGGAGGAAAATGATATCTCACAGTGCGCAGCTAAGACTTGGGGTGTCCACAACTGCCATCATGGAGAAGATGCTGGTGTGGTGTGCTCAGGTGAGACTTGGGGTCATCAGGTGGCAGGGCTTATAAGAAAAACTGAGAAAGACATTTTACCAGGGCTTGTAGTGATGGGATGAGGGGCAATGGTTCTAAACTAAAAGAGAGTAGATTTAGGTGGGATAGAAGGAAGAAATTTTGTTATGTTGAGGGTGGTGAGACACTGGAACAAGTTGCCCAGTGAAGTTGTGGATGCCCCATCATTACAAATGTCCAGTTGGGTTGGATTCAGCTTTGAGCAAATTGCTCCAGAGAAAGATGTCCCTGCAGGGGACTAGATAATGTTTACAGGTCTCCTCTAAGCCAGAACAATCTTCTGGCTCTCTCCAGAGGGAATGCGGTACATGGGGCAGGCTTAGGCATGCTCCTTTTGCAGACCTCTCCTATTTGCATCTCCTGCTCTTGAAACCCTCATGCAGCATCTCTCAGCCAAATTTCACACCTGGCAAAATCTGGGGTTTACTCCTGTGATTAATCAGCAGTGCCTAGCCGTGGAAAATCCTTTTGTCTTTAATGTTCTAATGCAGCTGCTACCCTGCTGTTTATGTGGGATGCATGTGGATGAGATGGGAGGGACTGAAGGAGGTTTTCTGCAATCATGCCTGCATGAATTTCCTTGGGGTGTCTGCAAATGCAGGAAACTTGAGCTCAGCTGATGTACGTCTTGTGAATGGTCCCAGCCGCTGCGCCGGGAGAGTGGAGGTCCTGCACAATGGGCAGTGGGGGACGGTGTGCGATGATGGCTGGGATCTGAACGATGCCAAGGTGGTGTGCAGGCAGTTGGGCTGCGGAACAGCGCTGTCGGCCCCGGGCAGGGCTCAGTTTGGGCAAGGCACTGGGTACATCTGGCTGGATGACGTGAGCTGCACTGGGATTGAGGATGCACTCCCGCATTGCCAAGCACGTTCATGGGGACAGAATAACTGCAACCACAGAGAAGATGCTGGTGTAGTCTGCTTAGGTAAGTCCTGCAACACATGGCACTGCAGGGGCCAGCACTGTGTTCGAGGATCTTGGAGTTCATAGAAGGCTCTGCACTCCTGGAGGCAATGCAAGGGCTCTCTTGCTCCACTGCCAGGATTCACAGGACTGCTCCGTACAGGGGTAAGACCTGCTCTGGATTTGAGCCAGCAGTGTGTGCTTGTAGCTCAGAAAGGCAGTTGTATCCTGGGCTGCATAACAAGAAATGTGGTCAGCAGAGCGAGGGAAGGGATTGTCCCTGGCTACTATGCTCCTGTGAGACTACCTGCAGTGCTGCATCCAGGTCTGGAGTCCCCAGCACAAGAAGTACATGGACCTGATAGAGTCTAGAGAAGATCACAAGGATGCTCAGAGGGCTAGTGCCTAGCCTACAACAAAAGGCTGACAGAATTGAGGTTGTTCAGCCTGGAGAAAGGCTCCATGGCAACCTCACTGCAGCCTATTAATATATAAAGGAGGCTTAGAAGACAAACTTTTTTTTTCCCAGGGCCTGCAGAGGCAAGACAAGTAACAATGGATTTAAACTAAGAGGGGAGATTTAGGTGGGATATAAGGAAGACATTTTTCATGATAGGAGTGGTGAGGTACTGGAACAGGTTGCCCAGAGAAGCTGTGGATGCCCTATCCCTGGAAGTGTTTTAAGTTAGTTTGGATAGGGCTTTGAGCAATTTGGTCTAGTGAGACATGTTCCTGTTTACAGCAAGGATGTTGGATTACATGACATTTGAGGGTCCCTTCCAACCCCCAAAATGCAGTGATTCCATGATTCCATAATTCTGTGACTATGAATCATGATCATTCTTAGGATTCTACAATTCTTATGGTTCTATGATTCTTATGGTTCTACGATTCTATGATTCTTATGGTTCTATGATTCTTATGATTCTATGATTCTTATGGTTCTATGATTCTTGTGGTTTTGTGATTCTATGATTCTTATGACCCCTATCACATTCTCAGTTCTTATGGTTCTATAATTCTATGATTCTTACAGTTCTATGATTCTTGTAGTTTTGTGATTCTATGATTCTTACGGTTCTACAGTTCTTATGGTTCTATGTTTCTATGATTCTTACGGTTCTATGATTCTTGTGTGGGTTTGTGATTCTATGATTCCTATGGTTCTAGAATTCTTACGGTTCTATGATTCTGTGATTCTTATGGTTCTATGATACTATGATCCCACGATTCTACAGTTCTATTATCCAATGATCATTACTATGCCCAACATCACGACAAACTCCAAACCTGGGTTGTAATTAACTCCAAGCCCAACATCTTTGCCCCTAAAGGATGGATTCATCTTAAAGGACGGGACCTATTATTCCAGCTGAGCAGCACAGGATGCAGCCCAGAAATAGCTGCCTGGACTGTCCTACTGCTGTGTACATCCATGGAGTAAACTGTACAGTTCACTCAACGAGTTCACTTTTCCCTACATGAAAAGACAAAGGTGGAAATGGAGGTAGGGACAGGCATGAATTTCTCCAAGAGCTTATCCCAGATTGTGTTTTCAGTGACAGACACCTCAAAAACCAACTCCCTGCGGCTAGTGAGTGGCCCCAGCCGCTGTGCTGGGAGAGTGGAGGTGCTGCATGATGGACAGTGGGGCACGGTGTGCGATGATGGCTGGAACCTCCAGGCTGCCACTGTGGTGTGTCGACAGCTGAACTGCGGCAGGGCTATGTCAGCCCCCAGCGGTGCTCGCTTTGGTCAAGGCTCTGGGCATATCTGGCTGGATGATGTGAACTGTGCTGGGACTGAGGATGCCCTTCACCATTGCCGAGCCCGTCCGTGGGGACAGAATAACTGCAACCACAGAGAAGATGCTGGCGTGGTTTGCTCAGGTCAGTTGAGTTCTGCAAAACAGGGCACCACTGGGGTCAAGTTGGTGATGGGTTCTGTCCTGCATCTTACTGCCTTCATGGTGATGCTGCAGCAGGCCAGTCCTGGATCTGTCTATTTCTGAGGGGTTGAGAGAGGCGTGCAGGATTTTTGTGGAGGGTTTATGACCCCTATCACATTTTCAGACTCCGAGATTACAGCCAAAGTGCGGCTGGTGAATGGTCCACACCGCTGTGCCGGGAGGTTGGAGGTGTTTCAGAACGAGAGATGGGGGACCGTGTGTGACAACGGCTGGGACATGAATGACGCCATAGTGGTGTGCCGGCAGCTGGGCTGTGGCATTGCTCTCTCGGCTCCTGTCCAGGCTTACTTCGGCCAAGGGTCAGATCCCATCTGGATGAACAGAGTATCCTGCATCGGGACAGAAAGTTCCATTTCAGAATGCTTGTCATCTCCATGGGGAATCCAACTGTGCACCCACATGGATGATGCCGGTGTGGAATGCTCAGGTGAGCAATGGATGCCACATTGTTGGAGACAGGTTGATACACAACATGCCTAGGGAGGACGAGAGTAGGATGGTGCAAGAAAAGTACAGTTCTGTGACAGCGAGAACTTTTTTCCACTGTGATAACCATCACAATGTAAATAATGTAAAGAGAGTGCCTTAGAGTGAACTCCCTCTCTAAGTTGTCCTTGCACACCCTACAAGCAGGATCTCAAAGGGCACTGAATCACAGAATCACACATAACGGTTGAGGTTGGAAGAGACCTCTGGAAGTTATGTGGTCCGACCGGACCACTCAGGTAGGTCCACTAAGAGTACGTTGTCCATATTCTGGAGGCTTTTCATGGAATCATAGAATCACAGAACTGCTTGAGTTGGAAGGGATGTTGGACCATCCAGTTCCAGCCCTCTACCATGGGCCACCCACTAATCAGGTTGCCCAGGACCCTGTACAACCTGGCCTTGAACTCCTCAAGCGATGGAGTATCCACAAACACTCTGGGCAACCTGTTCCAGAGCTCAGCCACCTGAATGATTCCAAAGGATCATCCTTTAAACATGAAGGTGTCTGCATACTACAAACAGGTGGACACCTCACTCCTGCAGATGCTGAGGCAGATGGTGGTCAAGCTCTCCCTTGGATGTTCTTCCCCACCTCACTAGTGTTGATGCACGGTCTCCCCACCACGTTTTGCAGTGTTGTCAGATGACACATCAACTCTTCGCCTGGTGAATGGCCCTCATCGCTGTTCTGGTAGAGTCGAGGTGTTTCACAACCAGCAGTGGGGAACTGTTTGTGATGATGGCTGGGACATGAGTGATGCCATGGTGGTGTGCAAACAGTTGGGCTGTGGGGAAGCGCTGTCAGCCACAACCCAAGCTTCCTTTGGACGAGGGGTGGATCCCATCTGGCTGGACAGAGTTGCTTGCACTGGGAGAGAAAATGCTCTCGTACAGTGCAGGGCCAGACCCTGGGGAGTCCACGTCTGCACACACGAAGAAGATGCTGGTGTTGTGTGCTCAGGTGACGCTTATAGTCACAGATATGGGGCTCCTGAATGGCATGGGTTGGATTTCCCTTACCCAAAAGCCATGTGCTCATGACCCTCTGGTGAAGAACCTTTTCCTAGCACCCAACCTGACTCTCCCCCTGGTGCAGCTCCATGCCATTCCCTCAGATCCTGTCACTGTCACCACAGAGCAGAGATCAGCATCTGCCCCTGCTCTTCTTTCATGAGGAAGCTGCAGGCAGCCATGAGGCCTCTCCTCAGTCTACTCTTGGCTTAACAAACCAAGGGAGCTCATATGTTTTGCCTTCTAGACCTTTCACCTATTTTTTTCCCCAGCTTGGCACACATTTATTAATTTTATATTTGTTCTAACTTCAGTTTTTGTGGCTAAATGTGTAGGAGGTTGATATCCTTTTGTGCTTTGCGCTGCACTGAGACTGTGTGGGAACTGCAGGGCCCTTGGGGAAGAGTAAGGCACCATGAAAGGAATTTATTTCCATCCCTACAGGGTAATGAGTCAAAAAGCTGAAGATAGGCATTGGTGCATGTCACTGCAAACATGCCTTCTGCCAAGGCCAGGCATCTGCCCTAAGTTTACGCTCTGGTTACTATTCACCATGTCCTTGCCCTTGCTACTGCCAGAAAGTTTCCCCGGTAGCTGTTCCTCTAAACACTGCATTACCCACCTCTGCTTGTAGACAAAAATATCACAGTGGAGGCAGCAGAGATCCGCCTCATGAATGGCCCCAGCCGCTGTGCTGGGAGAGTGGAGGTGCTGCATGATGGACAGTGGGGCACGGTGTGCGACGACGGTTGGAACCTCCAGGCTGCCACTGTGGTGTGTCGACAGCTGAACTGCGGCAGGGCTGAGTCAGCCTCCAGGGGGGCTCGCTTTGGTCAAGGCTCTGGGCATATCTGGCTGGATGATGTGAACTGTGCTGGGACTGAGGATGCCCTTCACCAGTGCCGAGCCCGTCCGTGGGGACAGAATAACTGCAACCACAGAGAAGATGCTGGCGTGGTTTGCTCAGGTCAGTTGAATTCTGCAAAACAGGGCAATCTCTTCTTGGCTGGACTCATCTCCATGCCACCATGCAAAGCACGCACTGAGCCCTGTGCCAGGCTGAGGAAGCCAAGATGCTCAGTTCATAACCAACAAATAGAAATTGCACATGGCACCAAGTGCATTTAGCATTGGTCTGGCCCTTCATCTCAACCTGGCTCCCTGGAGGCCTGACTCCCCCTACTAACCAGTCAGGTCCCCACTGGAACTTTTGTCTGCTTCACATAATTGCATAGAGACAATACCAATACTGTAGGGTCTGAAGCTGGAACTGAACCCTACTTCCATAGCCAGGTGAGATAAATTCCTCAGAAAGGGCTGAGAGGTTGAATCTCCTCTTATTTTGAACCGAGACAGAGCTGGTTTTCTTCATAGTGTCTGCTACGGTGTTTTTTGAGGGATTAATACTGATAACACACAGACATTTCTAGTTGTTGCTGAGTAGTTCTGTACAGAGTCAAGAATGTTTTAGTTTTCTCAGCTTCTTGTATTCTTCTGCCGATGAAGAGCTGGGGGGGGCACAAGGAGCTGGGAGTGGGTAGAACCAGGACAGCTGACCTCAACTGGGCAAAGGGATAATTCATACTGTATGGAATCATTCAGAAGGAAAGTCTGAAAAAGGTGGGAGTTCATCAGGCTTCCTTTCACTGCTCTGGGACTAACTGGGCATCAGTTGGTGGGTGGTGGGCAATTGCTTGTGCACTACTTATTACATACAAGTAAAATATATTTATCAAGGCCAATATCCTTTTTTCCTTTTTTTTTCCCCTCTACTTTTTTTCTATCTTTGTAAATAGCTCTTACCTCAACCTACAAGTTCTACTTTGTTTTTTCCCCAGTTCTCTCTCTCATCCCACTGAAAAGGGAGGGGAGTGAGCATGTGTGGTGCATAGCTAAACCAGAACACACCTCCAGTCAGGGGGAGCCTTAGCAACTCTTAGCATTTTTTTTTTTTTTTTTTATTTTCAGCGATGCAAAGTGACATGCCTCATTTTCTCTTCAACAGAAAACCGCACATCTCCCCTTGCAGAAGACTCCAACACCACGGAAGAAATACAGATCCGGTTGGTGAATGGCCCGAATCGCTGTGCTGGCAGAGTGGAGGTGTTTCACAATGGGCAGTGGGGAACAGTGTGTGATGACAGCTGGAATTTAAGAAGTGCTAAGGTGGTGTGCCGGCAGCTGGGCTGTGGGACAGCAGCATCAGCTCCAGGCAAGGCTCACTTCGGAGGAGGGTCTGATCCCATCTGGCTGGACGACGTGGAGTGCAGTGGCACTGAAGCTAGCCTCTCCCAGTGCAGACTGAATAACTGGGGAAACCATAACTGCAACCACGAGGAAGATGCGGCAGTGGTGTGCTCAGGTGATCACAGGGATGATGCTGGATGCATGCTCAGAAATACAGAAGTTCTGCACAAGTTTTCCTTGCACTGGGATGTAGTCAGCTCTGACTTGATCCCACAGCACCACATTATGTGCAGATATGTAAGATGATGGGGATGTTTTTGCAAGGGGAAATTCATGCATGGTAAAGATGCAATGAGCACATAGGCAGCATATGGTGCCCCTGTCCATACCCGCTGGAGTGCATGGGCATGCATAGCACATGTATCTTGCACATCCCTTAGTCTCTCAGTCCTCCCACTGCTTAAGGAGCCCACATCACACCCTCTGCTCTTCCCTACAGGCACCAACCCCTTGCAGGTGCGGCTGCGGGACAGCTCAAGCCCCTGTTCAGGGCGTGTGGAGGTTCAGTACAACACCACCTGGTACAGCATCTGCAACAAAAGCTGGAGCTCCTTGGAGGCAGAGGTGGTCTGCAAGCAGCTGGGCTGTGGACCAGCACAGGCTGAAAGCGCAGGAACCCAGGCCAGCCAGGATCACAACTACATCTTTCTAGAGGGGCTGCAATGCCGTGGTGCCGAGTCACTCCTCCTGGAGTGTCAGCAGAACAAGATTGGCCCAGGGCTGTGCCAGCACCGCGTGGCAGCCAGTGTGGTATGCACAGAACCAAGAGGTGAGTGCATAAAGCCCACCAGCAGTGGGGAGAGCAGCCAAAAGGGTGGGTGCAGCCCTTTCACTTCAAAAGGAGAGGTATAAAGATTGTGGCACATGCTTGTCAGAGCAAGCTTTTCCTTGGTGGATATTGTTTTCTACAAGCAATGAAACCAAATATCACTTGTTGGAGTATCAGAGATGCTCTTCTGATCTTAGAAGAAGCTGGTTTGTCCAGTTTCCTCTTGCAGATCAGATTTCTCAGCCTTCAAGGACTCTCTGCTCTTCTGACAGCTTTTCTGAAATAGGTTAGAGAAGGAATGATGGATGGGGGTCAGAAGTATGCCTTTCTTTTCTATGCATAGTCTTGGATTCCATATAATAAAGAGGACAACACCAGTGAGACGATGGCGGTCTTGTAAAGTTATCAGCACAGCAGGACTGAGGAATGTGAAAGCCTTCTCAAAGCCTACTGCCTATCAGATACCCAGGGAGATGATTTTAGGTGGGGTACAAACCACACAAAGGACATAGTACAGTGCTGCAGGCACCACAGCATCACAGGCAGCACAAACTGGATCTGAAAGGGATTAGTTGTTGGTTAATACAAAATCTAAGGAAAGCCTTTCTTGGTCACTGAAATGCTGAGGTATGAGGCTGTTTGGTGTCAGATTTTCTCCCATCTATGTTGCTGGCTGGAAGTGGGATCCTGACCTGGGTTCTCCCTGCAGGCTCTCCATCGTCCTGCTCTGCGCTGGTAGCACTGCTCATCCTGATGGTGATGGTGAGCGGGGTCCTGCTGTGGCTCTACCTGAAGAGCAGGTGCACTGGAGCAGCCCAAGCTGCAGGTGGGTCTGCTCACCTTAGTTCAAGGTCCCTATCCCTGTACATCAACCCCCTGATGCAGCACAAAGAGATGGGGTTAAGGTTAGGGGATTCAGTGGTTGCCAAACCAACAGCAGCTGTATGTTCTTACCTTTATCTGCCCTGCAGCCCTTAGATGTCCCAGGGAGCAAGGTGCCTCTGCAATGCCCTTCCAGACTGCGGGAGCCATCTACCATCCAGCTGAAGGACAGTTCCACAAGGATGCTGATACAGAGACAACTGAGCTCATCAGAGAAGATGCTTTCTTGTGATGCTGGTATAATCCCTTCTGCAGAAGCAGCACTATCAGTCCATGCTGTGGGGTCATCAGCCAAGCTCATTCCTCTTTTCCTCCTGCATCTCATTCTTCAGAGCAAATGCTTTTTTCCTTATGCTCCTCCAGAACTGCAGGAAGCCCTCACATGCTTTTGAGGAGACTGCAAAGCATAGCTGATGGGCTGGATGTTTATAAAACAGTCTGTACCAATGACTTATACTCAGGAGCCCCAAGACGTTTGGGAAGACCACGGATAGCATCTCAAATACAACAGATAAGTGCTTCCAAGCAATGGTCTATTGACTGTGAGTTATTTAGAGCACTGTCTCAGGTGTTTCAGATAGACAGAACAAACACTCTGAGCTATGGCAGAGAGAGCCTTCTCTGAGATTCTCAGTGTGCCTCATGGATTATTAAAAGGGGTCAAGTTATCAAGGGTGACCGGGTACAGAGAGGGAGACGGCATGGCAACATTCTGCCTCTTTCAGTCTGGCCAGCACAAGGCAATATGGGTAGGTTATGCCTGAACATGTCCAGTCCTTCTCCGACTTTGGAAGGGCTGGTTTCTTTCTAAGGCTCATCAGTGCTCATCTATGTATCAGCTATTTTCATTATTTACAATAGATTACAAACCATATACAGCAAAATAAATTCCTCTTGCCTTACTGCCTACATTACTTAGCCATATGATGAAGAACAGTGATCTGGAGCTGAACGCAGCCAGCAGCCAGCTACACAGACATGCTATGGGTGCTGCATCTGCAAATATAGTGACACATTAAGGGACTGAGATACATTCATCAACTGCGTCTGGAGGAGGACAGTTCATGGACAAACTCAATGTCCTTTTAAAATCAAAGTCTTGACATTATGAGCAATAATAAAAAAAAACAAACCCCATGCAAATCTTCTGACTCCAGCTTCTCACTCCAGGTAATCTATCCCCTAGATCTCACGTGAAAGCAAACATGAGGTCATCCCTTGAGTGTTCTGCAGGATATCCAGGTGGCAGAAAACCAGAAATCATTTCCTTCAGCAGTGAGGCCATTCATTTCCCTACTAACTACTGAGCTGTTAGTCATATTGTCATCACCAGGTGACACATGAGTGCAGCATATGAGAAAAACTGATTCAGAAACAGGTGTCTGATAATAGCCATTCTGGAGATTAAATCACCAGAAAAAAAATCTGAGCTCCCTTGAGAGCACAGCCCAGTGAGCACCAAATCAGTGACACCTGAGATGCTTTCAGTGACCCCAGACACTGGCATGTGGAATAGTCTGTAAGAAAAAAAGGAGCTGGATACCCCAGCTCATCTTTAATGGCCTTAGCAGTTAATTCAACTCCAGGTCTCCACTGACTGCTAGTAAGGCTTGACGTGCTTGATTCAGCTCCACCTACCCAGGCAGCAAGTGGCAGTGGAGTTATTTTTAGGTATCTGATGCAGAAGGGATCTGGCATATAATGCAGTTACAGATGCCCTGCAGAAACATTACAGGCAGCCCCACAGTATGTGCATCCTGATGCAGGTGATGAACCCGCCATAAGAAGTGGCTGTAATGGGACATCTAGGCTGAATCCTGGGGACAGGGAAATGTGAATACGGCATGAAGATATGGGGTCTGCACTGGCACTTCATGAGCATCTATTCCTAGGAAGATGTGTGCCTACTTTAAAGCAACAACTGGGTGCAGGTTGTTGGAGCAAATCTCATCTTTGTCCTCCGATCTCCACCTTGTTACTAGGAAAATGCACAGGTGACCTGGGTTGTGAATGCAGATGTGTAAAGCACTGAGTATGCTGCATGCAGGCGTAGCAGCAACTGGTGAACTAGCCACCAGGATCACCTCAAAAGCCCAAAAGCAAGCAGGGATTTAGAAGTGGCCTCAAACCAGCAATGATACAAGAGACATCATTAAATAACCATCCTTTAATTAGTGTGCAGAGTGCTGAGGAGTGTACACCTGCTTTCAAACCATACAAAACGGGGACAGGGTAGGACTGGGATCATGAGAAGTCTGAGGGTTGGTACCTCCAGTCCCACAGACCCAGTGTGCAAGAAGGTGACTGTGACACCAGGTCCCTCTAAAGCGGCTCAGATGTGAGGATGGGACTCTGCTGGTGCCCCAAGGGACTTGGGTCTTGCTTTTGCAAGAAAAGGTCTACATGCCACCCTCTGCCCAGCAGCAGCTATCAGTCAAAGAGAATAAATTCAGATTTCAGCAGCAGCTCAGGTGGCTCTAGATCTGGTGCTGCCACTAGGGATACACTGTATGGAAACAAAGAGGGCCCAAGACTGGTTTTCTGCTCTCCCCTTCCTCATACAGATCTGGCAAACAATTTGTGTATACCCCCTTTTTTGCTTCCTACCAGCCTCACAAGCACCATGGCACAGAAAAGAGGGTGTGTCCAACTTGAGATGCCAGGCTTTTTCCTCCAGAGTGGGAGAGGTGAGGTGGCTCTTGTGTGGCTCAGCACCTCTCTTCCATCACCTCCAAGAGATCTCCACCAGCAGCATAATGAGGACCAGCACCCCCTCTTCCCTGCTTTGGCTCCCCATGGTCACCCAACTCTTCCCTTGTGCCTCGAGGCCAAATCTTAAGAACACACAACTTGCAGCCAGTGGAATGCTGACTCTGCTTTATGCCCACTGGAAGCAGCCTTCTGTACCAGCAAAATGCCAGTGTGGACCCTGCACAGCAGGGGAAAGGGCATTGTTGTCATCAATCTGATAATCAGTAGCAGAGTGAAATATGGACGGGACATTTATGCTCTAAAAGAAATGTGAGGTGCTCAGGCATTGCTGTTCCCAATCATACTTTACACCAATGCACTTATTCTCCTCAAAAATTGACAGCTATGTCTCCTCCTGCTGCAGGACTCAGTGTACCCTACTACAAGAGGATATCCAGGAGCTCCCAGCCCATGTCTTGCACTCAAGGAAAACAGCAATGTGGCTCCAAGCTTAATGCAGACATGCTGATAGAGCCTGTTGCAGGGCAAGGCTGAGTTATGGGAACTTACCGGGATGACTGGGCAGCTCTTCTTGAAACACTGAGGGGAGGAGAAGCATTAGCATAGTATCAGCTAAATACAGGACTTCCTACAGTGCTGTCAGAGCTCTGGATGTCATCTCTCAGCTGCACCGCAGCCTTGGTCAAAGCAGCTTGCCTCTGCAAGCCACTATAGCACAAGACTCACAGTACCACAAGCTTCAGCTTGTACCACCAGCAAGTCTGCAGCCAGCAGTGCTTGAGGACAGCACATTACCTCCCTGCAGGTCGGAGGACAGGAGTCTGCAACAGCCCCAACCTGAGGGCTCAGCGACCATCCCTGTGAGATCATTTCATTGGAAGCAGGAGAGAGCAGCGTATGTCAGGGTTTGGCAGAGAGAAGCCATGCAGCAGAGGCCCCAGTGGGATGGGGGTCAGGAGAAGACCTGCAGCAGCACCCACATTTTGGCCTCCTCTCCAGGTCCCCTGCACATGGCTTACTTGTGTAAGTGGACCAGCCTGGGGCTGCATGCATGCTTGTAGCATGCTCACTTCTTGCTTCAGGCTTCTTGGCCTCAAAACACTCATGCTGTGCACACTGCTCTCGTTCAGCCATCACGGTGCACGCGCTGGTGCTGCAGCAGGTTGGAGGGGTGAGCAAAGCCCTTGTCACAGACACTGCACTTGTAGGGGGTCTCACCTGTGTGCACCTTCTCATGCACTGCCAGGTAGGCCAAGTCCTTGAAGAACTTGTGGCAGAAACTGCATTTGTAGGGCCGCTCCTGGCTGTGCACACGGTGGTGCTGCAGCAGCAAGGAGGGGCGGGCAAAGGCTTTCCCACATGCTTCGCATTTGTAGGGTCGCTCCCCAGTGTGCGCCCGTTCATGGATCACGAGGTAGGACGACTGCTTGAAGGCCTTCCCACAGGTTTTGCAGACAAAGGGCCGCTCACCTGTGTGCACACGTTCATGAGAGGAAAGCGCATTGGACTGCTTGAAACCTTTTCCACAGAGCGGGCAGATAAAGGGGCGGTCACCCGTGTGCACACGCTCGTGAACCTTGAGGCTGTGGCCATAGGTGAACTTCTTACCACAGACACCGCAGACGTGGGGCTTGTCGTCGCAGTGCTGCCTCTGGTGCAGAAGGAGAGCATTGGAAGTGGGGAAATCCTTTCCACAATCTGCGCACTTGAAGGGTTTCTCGGTGCAGTGGGTCAGGGTGTGACGCTGCAGCTCGTAGGGTGTCTTGAAGCTCTTGTCACAGCAGGCGCAGTGGAATGGACGTTCACCTGTATGGATGCGCCGGTGCTCCTGGAGGTTAGAAGAACGTTTGAAACGCTTCCCACAGAGCTCGCATCGGAAGGGACGCTCCTCTGTGTGCACCAAGCGGTGGCTCTTGAAGTCTGAGTGTCGCTTGAAAGAAGCCTCGCAGAGATCACAGCGGAAAGGCCGCTCCTCATTGTGCACAACCTCATGGCTGAAGAGCTCCCAAGCACGTTTGAAGGCTTTCTCGCACACACCACACTGAAAGGGCTTCTCGTCCACAATCACCTCACGGATCTCAAACTCAGCAGCCCCGCTTGCTCCACGCTTCAGGTGTGGGGGCAGCACCACTGCTGCCTCCTCCAGCTCACCTGCTGCGCTGCCCAACACCAGCTTGGCTGTGGAGTAAATGCCATGCTCATCAATCAGTTGCACAAAATCTGGCTTGGGACGAGCATCCCCGTGAAGAGGTGGCTCGGGGGAACAAGACCGAGAAGCTTTTCCCTCCTCTTCCTCCTCTTCACTGCTCTGTGGCAACATGGGAACTTCCTTCAACCCGTTCTCCCCAAGGTTTTTCTTCCGTCGGAAGTCACTGGACTGACCCCAGATCAAGCGCAGCCTCTTTCCCCTTGAGGGCCCTGGCTCTTCAGCTCTTTCTCCTTCTCCTGGAGATGTTGGGACCAAGCTTGTTTTGGGCTTCAGGTTCAGCCGGTGCTTCCTGCATGGCTGAAGCTTTTCAGGTTCTTCTCCCACCCTTTGGCCTGGGCTTTCCATGCCCTGTGGGATGAGAGAACCTCGCCCTTGCCAGCACTGTGCTGAACATCGAGGAGAACCAATTCTGTCTTGCTTCAGGGAGTCTTTTTCCATCTGTACTTGGGTTGTATCCTCCTCTGGAGTCTCCTCCTGCTCTTCATCTTCAGGTTCATCTTCAGAAATGCAGACCCGCTGCAGAGAAAAGGGAGAATCAGAAGCTGGAGAAACTGGCTGCTCTTCCATGGCTCCAGATGCTGGATACCAACCCAGACAGGAATCTCTGCAAAAATAAGGAAAGGGAGATGTAAGCCATCGGGGAGCACAGCTACAAAACAAGGGCTATGAAGACAGTGTAGAGGAAGACAGGTCAGAGCTAAGCCCACGTGCAAGGAGTACAGAGAGTCTGCAAAACCTGTCAGCAATTTCAGGTTGGCAGGGAGGTGCTAGTGAATCAAAAATACTTCTTGGAAATCTTATAACTCATTAACCTATTATTGGACACTGAATCAATTCACCCACGTAGACCACTTGCAAGTTTACTTGTGTCTACTTGATTGGAGCAGTGGTTGAAAGCCTCACTACTATACCTAGAAGCTGGGAGTTGTACCAGCTACCAGCAGCTGCCAGGCAGGGTATTCAAAGCTCTTCAGTCTGTGCTTGGTCTCACTGGGTGCACAACCCTGCATGCTGTCTGCCACGAGAAGCCACAGTTCTGGATGCATTCAGAGGATGCCAACATGTGCTGGTGCCCTTAGACAAAGTCAAGCCCGAGTTATCAGCTTCTGTGGATTCAACAACAGCAGCTTGTCTACTTCCACAAGTTTATCAGGCAGTTTTCAGACTGTTATCTTTCTTTGTACATCTCTTTCTGGTCCAAACCCTCCACTATCTCCTGTTAAAGGAACTCAGGCAGAATGGGGTTTGTGACATCAGTGTGTGGCTCATACAGAGAGCTAGTGTCTCCAGTAAGCACAAAATGACCTTCAGCCTCTTCAACAGCCAATGTGGCTGCCAGATTTGGAGCTCAAAGTCATTGTCTCAAAGGCTCTATCAGGAGAAAAGCCGGGGGATGCAGTCACAGACACGCAGGCTGGCTTTGCTGTCCCAACCCAGATACCACACAGAGATCAGTTTAGACCTGACTGATAAGTGAGGGAGGAAAACAAGGATGAAACATGATCGATCCCCTTGTACAGCTGTAACAACACATGAAATCACACCCTGAAAGTGCATGATGAGCAGCTGTCTAAAGTGAGAAGCAATCTGCAAAGAGCCAAATTTGAAAGACCCAGTTTCACCTTTGAAGTCATGAGATATTACAATAAGAGGAAGCAGTGGAGAGGATTTCAGGAGCAATCACAGGGATCGACATCCAGAGACTGTTGGTGGTGTTGAATCTGCAAGAACTGATAAACTTTGGGCACAAAGATGGAACTTCAGGCAGGCTGAGCTGTGAGCAAACACAATGTTATTAATAACAGAGTGGTTCCATTAATAGTAAGAGCTTAAATGAATAAAAAGTGTTCCAGGGAACAGTACTTATTGTCTGCTCCTCCCACCCCTGCTGGAGCTCAAGTTGCAAGAAAAACCAAAATAAAACAATTCACAACAGAACGGAGTTTCGGTGAGAAGATTTGGCTTCACTGCCACAGAGAAGGAATGATCAGCGTGAAGCTTTGTCCCTCATACACATCTGTAAACCAAAGTGCCATAAAAAGGGGAACTCGGGAAGAAGTGGGGGATAAATGAGACTGAAAATCCTAAAAGACAAAGTGAAGGAAATCTGGGTTAGTTTATGAAGGTAGCAAGTTGAACAGAGGAAAGAAGGTAACTGTTAATTATATGATGAAGAGAAAACAGGGACAGAGATGAGAGAAAAAGGTATTTGTTAAACATTCTATGAACAGAAAAGGAGATGTGAGTTTGAGTAAATCAGATTAGGAGCAAAGGAAACCAGTGAAGAATAAAATGAGAAGAAATCTGAATCTAGCCAAAGTCACCTGCTGAGATAGCATCTTCCCATCGGATAACACCTCCAAGGCGTTTTAAATTTCTTCCTCAAAAAAGAAGGGACATGAAGTGTGACATTAATGCGGAACGGAGCTAAGTGAAGTGCTGATTTATTCCAGGCCACCATGAATGCACTGCCACTGTTAGGTTTCAAACGCACAGTTCTGGGACTGTTCACTCTTGGTGATACATGTGGTGGGAAATTTATGGGGCACATCAAGCAAGGGGTCACACACTTTTGTTTTGGTCATGTAGACAGTTAAAGTGGCTGTGGTTTTATTGAAGGGGTAGAACAGAAAGCACTGAGGGCAAAGTGAAAAATAGCAAGGGTTTGTTGAAGCAGAACTACTACGGCAGAGAACCTTTAGGAAGAGTCAGGTGAGCACAGGTGAGGAAAAGCATCAGAATGCAGTTGGAGAGGTGTTCCCAATGCAGGAAGCAAGCAAAACCTTGGTGAAAAGCACTTTGGAGAAGATGGTGCAAAGCTGACTTTCTGTATAAGAGGTAGTGAAGAAACAGAGAGAATCATGAGGGTGGGTCAGTTAACACATGGAACAAGAGCTTGGGCTACTGCAGGCACTACCCATGGGTCAAACGTGTCCCAGAACAGCTCACAGTGCCCCATGACATCATGCTGGTGGCTCTTCCCCACCAAGTGGCCGAACATGCACTCACTCCTTGGCATCAACCTAACTATTAATGTTGTCTGAACTGAAAACACACAGCACAGGGAGTTGTATCTTATATATATAATATAGTGTATATATGAATTATATATACATATATAATATTTGTAGTACCATATTCAGTCAACATACATATATTTCTCAAATGGAATGTACAGATTGCAATCAGATATTCAACTCAAAAATCTGATTGCATCTCTTTACCAGACTGTTATAAGAGAAAAATATTCCCTGCTTCACATTCACATGCTTACTCATGCCATTGCTTTTGGCAGTCTCCACACCTGTGAACAGCCATTATCAAGGATGAAGCACAGGAAGAGTAATATTTCATAAAAAATCTCTGATTAACACCTTGAAAAAGAAGTTTTGTTACTTGTATACATTACATAAATAATTATATTCTATATTTTACGAATGCTGCTCCAAAAGTAAAACCTCCTGTTTTAGTATGTTGGCCCATGAAGTCAAAGATGGATGTAGGTGAGATGGACGTAGAGGTTGAACCTTCCCACCAATATTCCACTACATGCTCTTGCCAGATGGCAGCAGAATGGCATATGTCAAAGAACTGCATAAAAAGCAAAAGTGCATCACTGAATTCCTCCATGTGGAAAAAAATGCACCCACTGACATTCATCAAATCTTGCTGAACATTTATGGAGACCAAATAGTGGATGTGAGGATAGCAAGTCAGTGGGTGGTAATTTTCAGCAATGACAACAGCTACGGTGGATCATCTCTGCTAGTACAGGTTTTAACAAATATGGCATGCAGGCTCTTGTTCACTGTGGTCAAAATGTATCACTAACAGTGGTGACTGTGTTGAAAAATATTGTTCAATAGCTGAGAATTTGCTTTATCAGGTAGTTACTGTGCTCGCTGTATCTGCCATAGTTTCCATGGACATAAGTAGGAGACATTACTTTTGGAGCGACCTACATATAAGCATCTCTAGACAATTCCCCTTCACTCATTTTGGCCCATGCAAGCCAAAAAGTTGGGCTACTAGATGTAATCTGAAGCTGAGAAGGAATGACCACAGTCTATAGATATAATCAAGGATATATATCAGAGAAAGGATATGTAATAGAGAAAGAAAAGAATAATTTAAGTTAAAGGACGTTGCTACGACACATGTCTGAAATGGAGGATAACATGCTAAAGGGCAGTGCTGGAGTAAGTGCAAAGCAAAACAAAGCAGTGATGGACAAAATATTTAAGATGAATTAGCTCCAACTACAACTTGGAAGAAACAGTTGTTTTTGTTGTTGCTGTTGTTTTTTGTTTTCATTTTCCTCCTCAATGCAAATGGATCATTTCAGCCCAAACTCTCCAGTTCGTTCCTGTTTCCTTCAATACCAACAGAGATCTTTCATCACAGTACTCCTAAAGGAACACCATAAGCCAGCATGTCCCAGTCCCACCCCAGCATCAACACAATCTCTCCCTTCATCTCCTCGCTTTACAGCCAATACACCCAATCAATCCCAGTATCACTCAGACCCACCCATCTCACTGCACTTCCCCATCTCATTACAACCAGTCCTTTCCTATATGTCAGAGTCCAGCCCCTGCACAAGAAAGACGTGGAACTCTTGAAGCAGGTCCAGAGGAGGACCACTAAGAAAATCAGAGGGTTGGAAAAAGGTTGAGGGAATTGGGCTGGTTTAGCTTAGAGAAGGTTCTGGGGAAACCTCATTGTGGCCTTCCAATATTTGAAGGGAGAGTATGAACAGGAGGAGGTATGACTGTTTACGAGGGTGGATAGTGATAGGACAAGGGGGAATGGTTTTAAACTAAGACAGGGGAGGTTTAGGTTGGTATTAGGAGAAAGTTTTTCACACAGAGGGTGGTAAAGCACTGGAACAGGTTGCCCAAGGAGGTTGTGGATGCCCCATCCCTGGAGGCATTCAAGGCCAGGCTGCATGTGGCTCTGGGCAGCCTGGTCTGCTGGTTGGTGAGCCTGCACATAGCAGGGGGGTTGAAACTCGATGATCATTGTGGTCCTTTTCAACCCAGGCCATTCTATGATTCTATGATGATTTTTGCTACAAAAAGCAATCTGTCCCAGTATGCCCCTGAGTCACTCAGTACCAAAATGGGCCCTCATCTCATTCCCATCCTCATTACAACCAGACTCTCCCAGTACTTCCAAATCTCTCCTTCGTATTCCCGTGGAAAATCTCTATAAGTATTTAAATGTTCCAACCTTTGGTGCAATGCTTAGCAAGGAGCGGAAATGGTGTGCTTAGTTTGCAGTTTATAAAGGTCTGAAGAAAATCTCCAGAACTGTTTCAACGTCTCAACTGACACACTGCTTAGCTGCGAAGAAGGAACAGAAATTGTGTGCTGAATTCACAGCCTGAACTGGGGAACCAAAAATACTTGTCAAAGAGAGAGCAGAATACATCAGAGGACGGACAGCCCTACCCACACGTTTAGGCAAGTTCTCTTGTTGCAAGAGATGCCAAATTGACCAACATGACAAGTTTCTCTGCCTTCATATCCAATGAGAAGGAAGGATACTACCCTTCCCCCTTCCACACAAATTCTGAATCCCACCTACTCCCATCTTACAT